ATTAGCATGGTGTACCATCCGAATGCTAATGGCCCTTTGTAAGTCGATGGCAAGAATAGTCTCACTGTCTTCCATCTCTTCATCCCATTGGTCATCGGGATCTTCATCTGGTAGTTCAAATGAAATTTTCTGGCAGTGACATCGAGCAAAAATGAGATGTCCAGTTTTTCAATTGATTAGCGGATTGTGTCTGATGAGCCAATCATGACCTAGGAATATTTCTTTAGTCTCCAGGTTGGTTACTGCTAAGTCAATTCATTCTGAATGATCACCAATGGTGAGCCTGAGCTCAACATATTCGGTAATCGACCCGGCTTGGTTCTTGGTTCCATCTGCATTGTAGATAGGGATGGGGGCTGCTGTTGCTCTAGTAGGCAATTTGTACTTGTTGACAAAAGCTCGGTTGATGCTACTTCCTGTACAGCCACTGTCGATTAAGGCAGTGACTGCATAGGTTGATCAGGATGTTAACGTCTCGATCTGGGCCTTGGTTAATAGGTCATGCCCTAGAAGTTTAGTTCGTTGAATGAATTTCCGTGGTCTGTGTAATTCATCCAACCATTCCAGGGCTCGACACCGTTCCACAGTTTTCATCCCAGTGATCATCTCGTCGATCACTTTCTCAGCTTGAGTCTTGTGTACTCAGTTTTTAAGTACAGCTTTTGCTGCTGCTTCGTCTTTGGCATCTTTGATGGCTCACCAAGTCCATTCAGTGTCGAATAGTTTGAGCCATATTGTGGGACCCTCCGTCCTAGTTCAGCCTGAAGGTGATTGAGTCTGTTTTAACTTTTTAGCTTGATGAACTGATGATGATGACACACCTTTGAGGCTCTCTGCCCCTCTTTGGCCTTTTGTCAGCGCTTGAGTCATTGGAGTTGGTTTCTTAGGTGATTCTGAGTGTTGGAGAATAGGGTCAGGTATATTCGAATGCACACATAATTTAGTCATAGGGGGTGATGCTACAGAAGGTGAAATATCAGTCTGTCCAGCAGGTTTTGGTCTATTCTCCTCTTCCTCGGCCGAGCCAGTGGAATTGCTCACTGCTTGGCTCCATCTTTTACCTCCTCAGGCTTGTCGTCATGCTCAAGGTCTTCGTCCTCCTTCATTAACTCAGCGATCTGCACCCAAATCTCTTCCCTCGTGCATTTGTTCTTCTTCTGAGGGCAGTTTTATGCCATGTGGTCCTTCTGGCCACAATTGAAACACTTCCCCCCCTTCTTGAGGCAATCCACATCCATTGGCTAACCCGTTCCAGTATATGTCATGCCCATACCGGTTTGCTTCATTCTGTAAGAAGTTGAGGTTGAGCCTCCAGGCTTAGCAGATGTGGTCATACTAGAGGCAGGGGGTTTTAGGCCCTGTCCCTGTCTCTGGCTTCGATGGCCATAGGCCAGAGTAGTTGCTTCTGTCTTCTGCTATTGTCACTCCTTATACATAGTGATGATCCGGCTCTTCCATTCATCATAGCCGACCGGAATATCTCTACCGATATCAGAGATAGTTATGAGGTAATAGGATGGTAGTCCTATTTTCATGTATTTGACTATGCATCCAGTGTCGACAATGTCTTCTCAAACCCCAGCAAGTGTGCCGAGTCATTCTAACTCGTCGAAGTAATCTGTGGCCAGCTTTCCGGCCATCTTGAATTCCTTCATCTTCTGTTTGTAGACTTCCTGGACTGTGGGGTCTGTGAATTTGTCTCTGATCATTTGTTTGAAGACCGGCCATGCGGGGTATTGGTGATAGTCCCTGGTGATAGACCAGAAAGTGGAGGCAATTAGAACCCATCACACTTTGGCCTTGTCTACCATGTGGGTGACAGCAAATGTTACTTTGTACATGTCAGCCAGGAAATATGGGGTGAACACCTGGAAGTACTGATCACAGTCAACCAGAAAGCAGTTAATGTCGTCAGATGCCCCTCAGAAGAGGCGAGGTTCAGCACAAAGGATTGGTTTGATCTGAAGAATTTGAGCAGCGGCATCGAGGGCAGGCATCGGGTTCGGGAGTCCACCATGGAGTGGCTGTACCCATCCCTTGAGAGGTTCTGGGAATGAATGAAGGGATCTGTTGTCGGCAATGGGACTTTCCGGCTTGGAGGCTTCCTTTCGCACGATCCTCCCATTCCTAATGGTTCAGCCCTGGGCGAGTGCCTCAGGATCATCTTCAGTTGGAGGAGGCAGTTCGGGTACCAGGGCCTCACTGCCCTCGGCTTCATCTGAAGGCAGCTGTCCAGCAAAGGGTCGCAGAAAGAGCAGCAGCCTCCATGAGCCGGGGTGTTGCCAGGCTGCCTGTGGTCAGCTTCTGGCCAGCCGAGATGCCATGCTGTGGATGGCCAATGTGGTGAACGAGTATCGGGAAGATGCTGTTCGGATTGAAGATGCCATGTCTGCTATTTTGGATGGCATTACACTCAGTGTCCACATTCTTGGTGCCATTCTTCCACCATACTTCAGCTTGTATAGTGGTAACGGTTCTATCTGATAATGTGAATATCTTTGATTAAAATTAAAAATGACTCACTCAGTGGCTGCATACTGCAGAATCTCCTCTTTTTCAATAAAGTCTGCGAAAGTGTACCTTTGTCCTAAGGACGATCTTAACTAAAGATCGTCCTTCCATAACTCAGCTACCTGCTCCTGATATAACCGAGTGAACTCTTCCTCCCTCACCTTGTGTGCTTCCTGTCATAATTCTTCATCTGTCATGGGTCTGAACTTCTCTGTCCAGCTAGAGAGTGGATCCCCACCCTTCTGATGGGGGTCCACCTCCTCGGCCTCATCGTCCGTGTCAGTTCCCTCCTCGTCCTCGGGAAGGGAACTGCTGGGCAGGTCATAAACTTCTGGCTCAGTTGGACTGGGGCTGCTTACTGAGTCCGGCATCACTGGGTCCGGGGCAAGGAGCAGGCTGTCATTTGGGCTGCTCTGACAGCTCCTCGATGCTTGTTGTTGCTCCTGGTGTCATTGCTCTGCAATACCAGTGGAAGTTTCTGTAGAACTTTAGATTGAGGAAAAGGGCTGCAAAAGCCCCATCGAGGAACTTCTTGAGATCACTGGTGGGGTCGATACCCTCATCGTCTCCCCCGATGGTGCCTCTCTCAGCTGGAATCCTATCTCCCTGAACTGGGATGTCCTCCGTTTCTGCAATGGTATTGGTCCCATAAGATAATGGGCAGTTGTCGTCGAGGTGAGGCTGAGTCTCTTCTTCATGGTAGTCGGCCCAGGGGTCAGACTCAGTGGCAGGAGTGGCAGGTTTCTGGAAAGGCGAGTCAGGGGTGGTGGTTCCAATGATGGTTGTGGTTCTACTACCTCCTTCACCTCTTCAATGCTCCTCTGCTGCTCGTGCCCAGAGGTACCTCCCAAAGAGGTCGTTCTCTCTTGTAATCTTGTTGTTGATACATGCCTGATTCTGCCTGTACTCAGAAAGGTCTCAGATACATCATACCAGGTTCTCTCTCAAGGGACCTGAGACGATGGGGCTGGCTGGTCTCGTTCTGCCTGGTACTGCTCATACGCTTTCTGTTCTGCTAGTATTACCACCAACTGGGCGGCGCTCCATCCTGTCGGCCTCGGCAGCAGCAGCTCGCCACCAGTGGTGCTCGTTGCTGTCATCATTCCAATAGGGGTTGTCTCTATAGTCTGTGCTTCTGCTTCAGTTTGATGTGGTGTGTCGGGACCTATGGCCCCTGGAACCACGGGTTCCTTAAGCCATCCATGGGGCATCCAGGGAGTCTTTAGCACAGTGCCCAAGGCCGGTGCTAGAGGTGGGGGTTGCTGGCCTTGTTGCTGCGATACTGCACTGGGGGGATAGGATGGGGGTGTCGGGTCTGGGTCATCAAAACCCTGCAGCCCAAGGGTTGTCAGGGTTTCAGATGACTGCTGTCAGGGGTTGTGAGAGGTATGTGTGCTGCTGATACTGCTCCTCTTCTTCTTCCCTAGCATACCCTTGAGCCAAGCTCTCAGGGACACTTTCTGAGTCAGTTCCTTCAGTGGGTCAGAAGGACTGTCAGGCAGAGGCAGAGATGTCATGGAGGGGGAGGTCTGGTGTGACATTGCAGAGGATGGTTCGAATGCATTGAAATTCATGATAGTGCCTGATTGTCCAAGCTACGATCGATTGGTGTCCATGGCACAGCTGTATGATCACCAGAAGACCGATCAAGATTCCTATAATAGATGCCAAGAGTTCAAAGAACTTGTGGGTAAAATTCAGGTTAGAGGGATCAAGGGCAGGGGGCATTCAGTTTCTCAGCACAATTGAGCTTGAGAAAGGGAAGCCAGAAGCTTCAAGCTAATTGTTAGACTCAAGCATCATGTGAGCAGAAGCATATGATAAACAGAAGTCTTCTCACACTTTGGGAGATTGACTGAGTTCACTGATATGTTCTGATTGGTGTGTCACAAGGCCTTCTGGATTGGCTCAAGTATAGAATGGTATAAAGATAAACTTTAGCTCAAAGCTGGAGTTTTATCAGTGAGAGCGAGCCTCCTTAAATACTGTATATGTCTGTACTAATTATACTATTACTTATTGTGTGTTGTCACATTCATTGTGCCCTTTGTCCTTGGGTGTCATTACCATACATAAAAGGCTGATTGTGCATCACTGGGCAACACTGTTGCATCGAAAGACAATGACTGACTTGGTCCAGTTGTGATGACTAAGCCTTGTCCCACGGTCTTAAGCGCTCATTCTGGTGCCCTGACTAAGCATAAATAGGGGTTAATCCCAGAAAGAATAGAAAAAGAATAGAAAAATCATAACAAAGCCTATAGACTTGTTTCAAGGTATGGTAAGGTTGGTACATGTGAACCACTTGAGGTTGTAGCCAAGCTTGGTAAAGACATTGAGACCTCACCACAAGGACATGGAAAGCTATATGACTTTCTCTGGTCCTGGGGATACTGAGCATTCTTCCATACAAGCAAATAAGTAGGGTATTTTACTGTTTTTCTCATCTGAACTGTCTTTGGCCATCTGTTCATACCAAATAATAATTCCTCTCATTCAATGCCAACAAACTGAATATTATCCTGATGGATCAAGAATGCGACACGAGGTCCCTACAAGCAGCAAGCATCTAAGGTGTGTTCTGCCTCCTATGATGTTCAAATGCGTTGTCATGTAGCATGTCGCTGATGGTGAAATAGAGCATAGAATCTCAAGTCGCCGATCGTACTATGTGAGAAAGGTTTTTAATAGCAACCTCGAACCAGATACCTAATAACAGTATAAAACTTGCTGGTGCTACCCTTTGATGAGACTCAAGCACACTTTGAATATCAGTGCCGGCTGTAAAGCATCAGTAGTCGGAGCGAGGAGCGATCTGATATGCCATAACACAGAACCAGCCTGGTCATCCTGTTCAGAAATATGAGTGTTTGATGGATGGCCTATGCTGTCTGAAGTACGTACAGTGAAAGACAGAATGGTCAGCTTCTTCATGTACCATCGAAGCCACGAGCCTTTAGATAATGTCTCCCCGGGAAGTGGGACTGTCGTCGGGAACGAATAATCTGAGTAGAGATGGTTTAAACGTGTCGAAAGGGATTCAAGCGATAATGAACGCACCACCAACTTTGAGAGATGCCCTGAAAGTCAGTTTCAAGATGGGGCCTCGGGAGAATGGTAAAAAAATACTCACCATAGTGGACTAATCTTCTCTGCGTGGATGCGAAAATATTTCTTTGATAAATCTTTTGGTATCACCGTCGAGTCCATGAGCAGCTTGTGTAGACAAATAGCACCAAAGAAGGCCTTGGAGCACCCCTGCCTATAGTAAGTACTGTCAGCATCCGGTGAAATCGAACTGGCCAAAGTGAGCAATATACCCATAGATGGGGTTGATCCTCATGACACTGTCGCCCATAGCAACCCAATTCGTCGGCAAGTTGGCAGCTCTTTCGTATCTGATGTAGCTGGAACCGGCTGATAGCGTTTTCGGTATTTTTGACAAGATGAATGGAATGACACATACGATAATGAACTTCACTGCAAGTCATGGTATCTTTCACTTTGTCGAGCATGTCAAGCATTTGGAAGAACGTCTCAGGGATAGGTTTTTCAGTGACTAGAGATCGAGCGCAGGCCTTCGCTTCCTCAAGCGTCTTCGGAAGTTCGCATTCACCCATGGCACTGAAACAAATTTGTACTGAATGACGTTACTAGGCCGCGGAGTTCAATTATCCAACAGAAACGATGACGCACTGATGTCTCCATCCACACAGTGAGAATATACACTGCGGTTATCCTTCTTGGGATCCATCGAGTTGTGATAAATTACCCAACATTCATCGTATGGAACCGGGAGTCCGGGGAGCTCTCTCCCAAGTTCAGGCGTGACGTGAAATTGGAGTGTAGTGTAATGAAGCTTTTGATCGTAGGCAATCTTTAGTTGGTCGAGAGGTAACTGGTTCGGACTGTATCTATCGGCGAACCCATATCCTTCCCGTCGAAGCCATTTCATGCCAGCGGCAGCGACGCCTGTGCAATCTGAGAAAGTGAAGAGGCATCAATATATACGATACCATTCCTGGAATGGTGAGGTCATACCGACGACGAGAACAGCGGGAATATTTTGGATACCTTCAGGGGTACGGATCGTAACCTGGTCGATGAACTCTGGACTGCGGGTATTTCGAGCGACACCGGTGACTGTCCCAATGACTTGGCGAATATTCTTGTAATCACCCCCGAGTACCAGGCGACGTAGAAACGTCTCCATACCAGCGCGGCCTGCATAGATGGTTTTAGGAAGGGCGCCTCCGTATTCTTCATCTGGCATCCGAGTATCGTTTCCCCAAAAATGAATGTGCAATTTGCTAGGACCCACTCTGTAAATATAGACCAATCAGAAAAATTTTAAATAGAAGACGTGCCAGGAACGGGCCTTACTTGATGCCAGATGCTTTTCCTTGTTCTTCGAGATTGGGGAACAGTTTAGACATTGCCTTGTATCCCAAAGGTAGAAGGACTACATTGCAATGGTCATTACCAGGGAAAAGAAATCCGATGAGATAGGAAAGTACCATGCAAGGAGTCGTATTGCATAATTCGGGAGCGCTTGCTTTGTTGGTTCCATGGATCTACACGTGTTGCATCCGCCGTGTTCAGCCACGCCTCTGGTTCAACGACGACAACGTCGTCAAAGTGGTCATGGCATACTCGAGCTGCCATGAGACCCCCGATGCTAGAGAATACGGTCAGTCATGACTATAAGAGCGAGAGGTCTGATTACCTTCCGCCACAGATAACAGCTGTTCCCTTGATTTTCTCGCGAGGAAGCCTAAGTCCCAGTGAGTCGATGTCGAGCACACATGTCTGCTTCACGAGCAGCCTACGTCGGACAGCGCGCCCAAGGTATAAAGCGACGCCGTATGCAGAAAACGATAGTCCTAAAATCCACAGAAGATTCATGAGTTACGGGTGATGCAGATAAGAGGTGAGGAACAAAGAGTGATTTTATACGGGGATGAGGTTGCCACCCGTTGAATAAGGATGTTGCACAACTCTGATGAAATGCTGATGATGCTTGTGATTTAAATACGACTGACAAGCACCCCTTATTCAGCGACTGGTCGACGGCCCTGTTCGGCGTTGACTCAGTTGGGCCTTTCTATAATGATACTTGTTCGCATATCTGAGATACATAAGAAGAATGATTAAATCTTCGTTAAAGCGATGAATTCGTCACGGATTTGCTGGTAATTCGTGCCGGTGGAACCTGGCCATTGGAGTATGTACAATAACACATAATTATTCTGATTTGTATGGTCTTTCCTCGGACATTCGACTTTACTGGATATCAGCTTTGGCCGTCAAGAATAATAAATAGAAACTCACCTCCTACATGCCAAAATGCGACTCCAGATGTTCCGTGCCGCATCTTTAATGGACCTAACTGACCCAAAAAAGTTTCTAAGTAGCCGAAAAGGATGATTGACTCCTGACCGATGGTATGTAAAGCGGTTTATACCGGAACTGGACAACGACGTCAAGGTCAGCCACGTGAAACGGCAGCTTTGTCCGAGCCTCATGTCCCTCCAAACGCCCGAATAGCCCTCGATCCGGAGCGCCCGGATGATACAACTTCGTCAAATGATCAGTGGATTGCAAAGCATCTCTCGGTGGCGGATCCCGTCAAGAACCACTGCTCATCATGAACTGGACACTTGCAGCATCGAGGATCTCGAGATCTTCCATCCTAAAGCTGCTCGGGACTATCATGAGGACGCTGTGAAGCCAAGGTAAGGACTGATAATGTTTAGAGGTAGCTCTTACTCGCTGCTGACAGGCAACAACCAGTTTATTTCCTCAGGACCGGCCAGAACTACGCTCAGCGAGGAAGCCTCAAGCGCACTGAGAGTTGGAAGGCAATGGTAGACAGTGGTCCGCTGACCAATCACTGTACCGTTCGTTCCGAGAATTGGAGTAAGGAATTGATTGTTGCCCGGACCTCCTGGCAGTAAGGGCGAGATTGGTATTGGTACCCCGGAAATTCTTGATTAAAAAACCGTCTGAACATCTTTCGATAATCGCCGTAATGAAGTAGTCAGCCCTATAGATATTCAGTAAGGATCATCGAGGTCGACAGAATGGCCGATGGAACTAGATAGAACCATTTTGCTTGGACGGATGGTCATAATCATGCTTGGAGCTCATAGTAGGAAATCAATGACTACAATACTCATAAATTGGGATAAGACGTTCTTCTCGGCTATGAAGGGAAAACCTACGTGAAAGTTTCTGGGACACGGTAACGATGAATCCAAAGGAGTACACCTGAGTAGACCAGTTAGTGATCACCAATGAAACTGGAAGAGAAGAGGCACAATCTTAACCCCTAATCATTGCCTACGGCAGAACAAAAAAAAAGTTCTTCTGGCACAGATACTTATTGACACGCTCTTGCTCATTCAGGAGTTATAGTCGTAGACATCTTGTCCTATGACGGCGACAAAGCTCGTGATTAACCTAAAGACTTGTGATCATAAATGGGTCAGACTCAATAGCGACAATGTAGGTTTGGATGTTACCTGTATGAGAAAAGATAAGGCTGGAATTTGAAAGAAGACAGCGACACAGCGTAGATAACCATCCGGGTCAACGAGCTGCGCTGCAAAATAATCACCACGATATGGGATTACGGGCCGGGCTCCAACAGGTCTTATTACGTAACCAGTTCAAAATTTGGCAAGGCTGTTCATTTGCCAACAATTTACCTCAGTCGCTCTTTTTCCTACTCCTCTCCTTCTCTTGACCAAAAATCTTCTGTAACGACTTCACGATTTATTGATTGCAAACTACTCGATTCTCTTATAACTGGGTCCTGAACGTTAACCTTCAACTGCGGCGCTTAGTCGCAACCTTATGCGATGGCCCAGGCTGTTTTCGATGGACACCCCTTGGAACGATACCTAAGAGGTTAGTAGCTATGTATGTGCTCATCTGAAGCTTATTTGACTCTCTTTAGGCGTTGGAGAGGCCCCAGAGCTCATGCCAGGTGGCTCACCTGACTTTATCGGCCACGACGACGTCGAGGATGTTACGTATACGGAACAGGAGGACGGAGCCTTAGAGCCAGAGAACGAATTTCTAATAAATTTGCGCACAGTGAGCAACCTCACTGAAATGTGACGCTTGCCTGTAGTCTGACCGCTATCTAAGCGTATCCAATCCATCCTCTCACGATTCATCTCCTCTTCGCGTCCATTTGTCGAGAGATTCAAGTATGATATCATCTCGTCTTCCTTGCTTTCCACGTCACTTTCAAACTCGCGTCCGGCGCGACACATTTCCAAGTCAATACCTGGGGGAACCCTGCACAGCAGGACGTCCAGCGTCGACCATTCAGCGACATTGTCATCATCACATCCGACAACTTCACCGCCCGAATACTGGCTCCCGTCCGTTGCCTTGGCTATGGTAGTCATATTCTCCAGTGCAGGACATTATTTTTTAGCACTTTTATCGGCTGGAGTGATGTTTCTCACGGTGTACGTCCAGAAGTTTGATGCAGGAAATGATGTCTCCCCTCTACTGGATACTCTTAAAGACCTTATATCTGCTAATGATGCATGGAATTCCGTCGTACACGAAGTCCTGACCATGGTAGAGAAGGATGAGAAAGAATCATCTGTGCCTTTGTCGCCCTCCTCTCCCCTCCGCGTAGCTCTCAGCTCCACCCTTCACACAACTCAAACACAATCTGACAATGTACGAAACCTTTTTGCAGCGCTCACTTCTCCCTCCGAGTTATCCCAACTCTCAGAGATGTATGCCCCTCCGTCACCTCCTCCGAAATCTTTCTTCTCCCCGCTCAGACCCACCTCTGAACCATCTTCACTCCGCCTTTCGTTCAACTCTCGAGACAACAAGCGTTCGACATGGAACGGTTCTTATTCCTCGCTGGCAGGTGCCGGTAGCCCTACGCGCCAGATTCTCAAAAGGAGAGAGAAGCGCCGTTCGGATCTATCTGCTCTCCTAGGAGTTCCTACTAGTCAGAGCGAGCCTGTAACACCTGTTAGGGATCTGACTGGGGTCCAAGAACAGGAAGAAGATCACGATACCAGCGACGATGACGAATTATCATTCACTACCCAACCAGAAGGCAGCATACCATTTGGAATGGCCGCTTTGGATCTACGGAGGAGAAGAAAATCAGCGGGACTTGATGCCCTGGGTATGGCATTCAACCGCAGCTATGTTAATCCGCCGCGTAGTCCGATATCTACCCCATCTACACGCCGGAGTCCGACAGCCAGTGCATCTAAATTCACAGCCGTCCAACCTGCGCGTCACCCCCTGTCCCTCTCTTCTCTACAGATAGTGCTCCAAGGCACCCTGGGGTCGAAACGGTATGCCTGTGCACACTTACTGGCCCTTCGGTTTGAAGAAGAAGATGAAGGCTACTGGGAAGATGTGCGATCCCTGATGGAACTACTGACGAGCACATTCGCAGACGCCGCTGCAAGACTTACAGAAGCCTTGGAAGAAGCCGAGAGGCTCAAACTGCGGCTAGAGAACCCCAGTCCGAATTCACTGGCTTCCCATTCACGTTCCGTAAGCCTAACGGGACAATCCTTCGCTCCTATGCCGAGCCACATGTCGCGTTTCGCCATTCACGTGGACGCGATTTCGTCTGCGCTCGAGGACGCGAAGGAGGATTTGGATCAGTGCGTTGATGCTCTACGGGAGGGTTCATCTGCTACCCCGCCTTCTCCTCACCCGGCTCTCGAGGCGTACGAGCGGCTACGCCGAGAACTCGGACTCGCCCTACGCGAATGTGAACGCGGCAGGGAGCGACTCCTCGACATCATCTCACCCCCACGCCCAGATGATGATCCCGATCCTGATGCAAATCCTTTTAGTGGTGGTGGTGGTGGTGGTGTTATCCGGGATGATCTCCCTGGACTCGCGAGTGATGATTCCGATAGGCCTGATTCTTCGGCGTCACCTGTGGAGTACGGTGATGCCACGGTGGGTCAGAGTGTGATCATCATGGAGGAGCGGCTGCCGCCTCCGGGGATCGAGCAGGTGTTTGAGAGCGAGGAAGGGGCTGGGGTGGTGTTGAGTAGGGAAAAGTCAAAGTTGAGTAGGGAGGAGAGGATCAAATTGGTGAAGCAGAGGAGGGAGCGTGGGGAGACGGGGCTGGTTCGTGATGATGGGGGGTTGAAGGTGGAGAAATGGGGTCCAGGAGGGGAGGTGATGCAGGAGCTGAAGGATGTTATTTGGAAAGTGGGAGAGAAGCGTCGGAGACTGTTTAATGTTCCTCCTAACGTTACGTCGCCTCTCTTGGACAGCGTTAACGTTATTTGATCTCTTTCGTCTTGCATGGTCCGTTTGGGTTTTTCTGGAGTACATTATTATATCTTGCTATCGACATGCATTCATTTGGTTAATCATTTGTATCCTTATTCATCAATACAGCATGCATTTAATCCTGAGTAACCAACCATTCACAAACGAAGTTAAAGAGTAGGCACGTATGGAAAACAATCACGACATGTAGAAAACGCGAAAACCCTACCTAGCGACCAACTCGTCTGGATGGTTAAACCACTTTGCAAAGTCGCGTTCAAAATTAAATTTCCCCGTCGGGTCAAACTCGTCGGCCACGCTTTTTATGAACTCGGGCGTGCTGCGGACGCCGATACATCTGGCCCGGGTGGGACGGAAGGAGCCGGCTGATTGATGCCAGCGCACCATCATTCGACGGAGGGGGGGGCCACGGTTACAGACTCGGAGCTGGTTGGTATGATGGATGAAGCGCTTGGTAGGGATGAAGCGTGTAACGGCTGGGCTAGCATTGTGGCATTTGGGGAAGAAAAAAAATTAACATCGTCTACTCGCTCAAACTTGTCCCGACGAGTTCTCTATGCAATCGGCCAAAAGGGCCCAACGAGCTGGCCAATAAAGTCGAGCGTGAGGGGGAGGAACCGGTGGGTGGTAGTAGTACTACGTGCTGAGCGTGGGGACGTGAGAAGCGGGTGAAGGCCGAATCTGGAGCTCGGGGAGAATCAGTAGTCAGTAGTAGATGACACGACACTGCGGATGGCGGATGGATCATCCTCATCCAACGAATCCTCGGGCGTTGCGGCCCAATGTGGAAGAGGGGGGTGGGGACACACGCACGTCTACGCGTCCTTTTCTTTTTTCCTGAGGCGACGGCATTGGCGTGTTAGAAACTCGGTCTTGTCCTTTGCTTTCTTCTTTTGTCCATCCTAGTGGGCTAATGCGACGGCGTTGGCATGGCATGATTGGGCGTCTATAGTCAACTTGTGTGCGTGTGTGTGTTGTGTTCGTATTGACCGATCTGATCGCCTTCTAGACTCCCGAGTCGAGTCGAGCTTGCCCATACCCTCGGCTGTCCACTCCGTGTGGGCCGGCTCGACTCTATCTCTATTACCTTTCCCATCCGTGTTTTCCTGCAACAAAGTGGTGGTAACTCCAGTACTTGGCAATAAATAGATGCACAAACGAACGACGAGAACCAAGTACCACTCCTTCTAAATGGTCCGGAGGGGCTGATGAACAGCGACCCGCAGTTTTTATTTAATTTCCAAACGAACGTTTCCATCCAAAACTAATTTATAGAGAGAGCTCAACACAGTGCATGCAACAAGAATATAGGGGGAAAAAAAAACAGAGATCGAGGAGAGAAACTGTAACTAAATACTTATTCGAGGCGCGAGTCGTACTCATACGTCACACGCACACTAAATAACATATCGACAGGGACAGCAGCGAGCACGGGAGGGTTGACAGCGGGACAACGAAAAAGAAAAAAAAATCAGAGAGAGACACACACACAGAGAGAAAAAGAATCTAACATTTCAGGAGAGACGGGAATAGATGGCATTGGGGGGTAGGCGAGGTATCACTGCATGCAAAAAAAGGCAGCTTTTGGTGATAAATAAAGGCAAGCAGAGGCAGATACGTCGATAGGGAAAAACAAAAAAAAAACACAACAGAAACGGAAAATCCACAAAAACCAAACAAACAAACAGACAAACGGACGGACGGATGGACGGACGAGATCACTTCAGATCTAGTGTCCCGCTAACGTCGTCTGGATGGTTAAACCACTGTCCAAAGTCTCGTTCAAAATTAATGTCCCCGTCGGGCCGCAGGAAGGTCGGATCAAACTCGTCCAACGAGTTCGCCACACTTTGTATAAAATCGGGCGTGAAAAGCGCCGCTGACATATCCTGGCCCGCGGAGGCAGGAGCCGATGCACCACCACCACCACTCGACGGAGGGGGGTTTCCTAGTATCTGCGAGGGCGACGGGACCGTCTGTGCGGGGTTCGGCACAGGTGTCGGCGGAGCTGTCGCAGCCGAGTTGGGCGTCCGTGACGGTCCAGGCGGAGCATGTGGTGATCCATCAGGCTTGCCACTGTCCTTCTGCCCGCCCTGATCTTTGTTTATTCCTGGAGACGGCGGCGGCATCATACTCATCTGTTTCTGTTGCATTCTGTTGTTAGGTCCTGGCGTAGGGTTAAACTGTGTAGCCGGCACAGGTGGCGGTGGCCCTTGCTGTCCCTGTGCAAAATTGGGGTCCGAAGCAGGCGAAGCCGCGTTGCCTGGCATGTTGCGGTTGTGCATCGCATGTAGCTGTTGTCGATAATGATTTTGCCCATCGCGGTTAGGCATGTTGGGCATCTTAAGTGCCCATCGTTAGTTGACATGTAAAATTTTTACCCAAGGTATACGACGCACCGGTTGCATGTGAGTATTCATCATTCCTTGACCCGGTAGAGCACCCATTGCAGGGCTCATAGTACCGCCCATTGGTCCGCCGCCCATCTGGCCCATTGGCATTCCCATTGAATTCGGTGCCATCTGAGGCATTCCTGGTTGGAAACTGCCATTCATTTGTTGCGCACCCATTGGCCTCATCATATTATTCATCATTTGGGGTGGCTGCCCTTGCTGTGGAGGTGGTAGGCCACCAGGTCCAACTCCTAGAGGTGATGGCTGGGGCTGAGGCTGAGGATGTCCATGGGGGGGATACGTCACTGGCAATTGTTGTCCCACGGGCGACCGCCGAGGACGTTTACGATCTGGAGGCGACGACTCTGTCCGTGGTTGTTCCGGCTAATGAAAATTAATATCTGTAAAATGAGCGTGGAGAAAATGCGCACCTCTTCTCCTGGAGACGTGCTGTTTCTCTTCCCTGGTCTTCCTCCAGAAGGCTGCGGTGCGACATTCCGTTGGCTTGGCGGCGGCTGCATCATGGCATTCGAAGGCCCAGGAGTCGGGTTCGCCTTCGGATTCCGAGCTGCTGAACGCTGCCGATGAGCCTCGACAAAACGCCGCTATATTCATGAATCAAATTAAAACTGAATTCTTTTCAAGTCTATAGAGAAAAAAAAATTGAGACGGACCTTTTCATCGAATGTCAATGCAGTAAGCTCTTTACCGTCCAAGCCAAGTTCCTGTTTCAGCTGGCCCGCGACGGCGGGTGGTATGCGCAGAATCTCTGAGAGAACACTCTGGTCTTGAACGTGTCGTTGGTCTGTCCCGGAACCCATCGGACCCATGGGCGGGCGAGACATCATAGAGGGACTAGGGTGCGTCATCATACTACCTTGGCCAGGCGTACCAGTTCTACTTGGTGGTCGGGCTAGTGGCGGGTACGACGAAGATGCTATTGGGCCTTGTTGTTGGCCTGGATTCATCGGGGGTCCATTCGGAGGAAGCATGCCTCGATTTGGGGGCATATGCGGGGAAGGACCCATCTGGCCTATCGGTGGTTGTGTGTGTGGCGGTGGCTGCTGACCTTGAGGTGGTTGTTGGAGCGGTTGACCTTGGGGACCTGCGTGTGGAGAATGTGAATGGGTCATCGTGGGCGACTGAAAAGGAGCCATCCCGTTTGTCGGCCGTTGCTGAGGTCCGCCGGGTCGCTGGTGTCCCGGAAGCATCTGTTGATAGTTCGGAGGTTGCGCCGCAGGTACCCCCGGAGGTGGCTGCTGACCTGGGGGACCCGGAAGGCCATTCATGGGTGCGCCTGGCATAGGAAAAGGCCCTGGGCCTGTCTGCATGTGTCCCTGGGGCATGGGGGCAGAACCGACACCGTTGGGCATAGAACCATTAGGCATAAATTGTCGAGTCTGCTGCATTCCGTTCATGCCTCGGACCATGGGCTGCTGTTGCATGGGTGGCTGAGGGTTCATCGAAGGCGGCGGTTGCGGCGGCTGTGGCTGTCGTGGCATCGCCTGTCGATTCGCCGCCTGTTGCGATTGATGCTATAGAGGCGACATGGGAGTCAGGACCGGGACCAAGTACAGTCGCCAGAAGACGCACCTGCGTGTATATCATGGCATCTTCTGTCCCATGCCCATTCGCCTTTGCTGTGAACAGCACCCAAAACACACTCCACCACCTATAAAATGAAGGAAAAGTGAGATCTCGTCGCTACGGCCAGGGGGTCATGGCGCACTCGAACAGCAAGCCCTGTCTGGCATTGATTGGAGGTTGGGATTCCGGTGGTATCTCTGCCTCGGCGAGCAGCTCCCTGGCGGTTTTTCGGAAACCCCTCTTGTAGCAGTAGTCGTAGATATAGATATTGAACCTGGAAAACGAGTAGTCAGCAAGGGAGGAGGACGACAGGGTGCCAACGAACATCTTGTCACCCTCCCAGGACAACGGAGACGACGACGAGTCGAGCGGCGGGGGTACGGACTGCGCTGAGCCCGGCGGCGGAACAGAGGACATCGATGTCGAAGGACAAGAAGCAATCGACTCAGTCAAGGTCTGGGCAGGCGCGTGGGTCAGTTTTATGTGGCAAATTAGGTTCCGGAGGCAGAAATCGGGCGCGTAAAAGGGGAAATCAGGACCAATTCAGCAGAAAACGTCGTTTCTGGCTGAAATTTGGGGGAAATTAGTGGGATGGTGAGAGAGGTGGGAGGGATAATAGACAGCGGTGGGAAGAAGACAAGGGAGACCGAGGACAGTGATAGCCATTCCCGACGTGAGGCCCCAAAACCAGGCGCCGATCCAAATAAGCGCCGTTTGCCGAAACCTATGAAATTCATCCCACACTGACATAAATCTCAGATTAGCATTCCTATCAGCAACATATTGCGCATAGCATATTGATATGCCTCATTCTATTGTTGCCTATCTGTCATACACAAACTCAGTGTCGTCGCACCACCGCTATCTGGAAATCCCATCCAGCAAGTATATACTTCACCTCGAACAACCGGCGTATCTCCCTCCATCCACTGATGTTATTCGCTTCTTCAGCTTCCTTCAAGTCGGTAACGACATAAATGAAGTCAGCTGGTGACAAGAGTGATCGAAGGAGCGACCCAATCAAGAATGCGATAAGTGCAATGATGATGAGTGTCGACAAAGGATACTGTCTTGGTATTGCCTCCTTGCGGCATGTTAGCGTTGTACTCGCATCGATATCAGACAAGCCCCCAGGCAGCTTCCGGACTGATCCAGCTCCCGAACTTGCTGCCGTCAATGCCGGCATCCCATTCGTCCCATTCGCAGTGAATCGTGTGAGCGGATTCGGGTACGACTGCAAGAATCCGAGCAATCCACCCACCGGTGTCTGAGACGCGTGAGGCGTCGCAGGAAGATCAGCTGCATGCTTCATATACGATCAGAAAATCATCCAACAAAGGCAACGTCACCGTCGCTCACCGCTTTCGGTCCATCTTCGTTGCCCTCTGTGCTTGATCCCCGCTCTTCAGCTTCCTGCAAATCCTCACTTTCATCACTCTTCAAGTTCGAAGCAGAAGCAGGGTCCAGGAGCCTGAAATCAAGCGCTATGGGCGTGAGCAATTCAACCGGCAGCGGTTCCGTTTCACTCGTGGACCTGAGTACATCATATCAATACATCAACCCAAATAGAAATGAGCAACACGATCAAACCTTGAGAGCAGTCCCATCTTCGACACTCTGTCGTCTGATAATTCATCGCGTCCAAGCGTTGTCAGTGACTCTTTCTCACCAACAACAGCAACCGTAGTCTCCAAATCATTTACCAAAACCGTTACTCCCTTCTTTCTTCCCATCCCAAGCGGCCGTACTTCAACATCAACAATGACCCCGCACTCCTCCATATCAATAAACCACTGTGGCTTAGGTGGTGCACTCTGTATTTCTCCCGTCAGTGGGTCTTTGACAGTCGAAATCTGGTACTGCGCAGTAGGCAACGTCAATCTCAGTAAATGTCTCGTCGGGCTTCCAGCGTTCATACCCGACGAATGCAGTGGGGATAAAGGTATGGTATGAATCGTATAAGCCAGCGGTAAGACACATTGCCCTGTATCACCCAGTAACTGAAGGTCAATAAGGCCAGGTTGTCCTTGAGAACCTCGTTCACGTGCTCTCGATTTCAGTACCACCGTGTACCCGTCCGGATACAACTTTGAATCCACAGCCAGTTCTCCAACTAGCAGATCCGTAGTTTGGCGAACCTCGCCCTTAACGGTGAAAGCTGAAGACGATCGGCCACGTAGAGAGAGCTCGCCAGAAAAGGATGTATTAGATACTGAACGCTGGCGGGATGTCGGTGACGCCGATGGAGACGCCATCGGCGTTAACGGTGACGGAGTCGCCGATGAGGGTGGAGGCAACCCTGAAATGGTAGACGCACTGCTTTGCAAAGTTTCTGATATCGATGGTGGCATTCCATCGTTTGGCGGAAGTCTAGTAGAACGAGGAGCCGACTGCGTGTCTGGACTGCGTGATGATCGTGTCCCAACGTGAGACAACAAGGAAGGAAAACTGATGAGGATTGTAGTCGTGTAGACACGTGAATCGTGCTTGTAGTTTGTTCTAATAAGTGTTCGGATGTCGTCTCGCCGTCTGAGCTTCCAAGATAGGTCCCCGACTTGTGCTTCGTCCTTCTTCTCAGCCAATACGAACCCAGGCGCAGGCAACCGGGTTATAGGAAGCGGTGAGATACTCTTGACAAATGTCTCCACGCCCAATATCGCCCGAGGGAGAGCCGCGTTTATCATGGAGTTAACAGCAGTAGGAAGAGACCCTGCATAGTCAACCGCAACCAGCCTCGTACATCGCGACGACGGCACTGCATAATTTTCCTTCGTATAAGGATCCAGCGTCTCCAGTATCCAAGCGTCAATGAACACGCGTCCAATAGGCAAGATGTACGGATTGTACTTTCCTACAGAAAACGACGACACCGATCCGGGGTTGAAAGATACGGAAACACAATAGATAGCACTGCGCGAACCATTTGATGATTGCTCCGCCACTTCTCCCGCATCGCTCCTCAACAGGGAAGGAAATGCATGTGCTCGAGCCATAACACTCGCCAAATACATTCCACGATCTCGGAACGGGAATGAACTCTTCGATACCACAAAGCACGTCCGGCAATCGGCACCATAGGATTCCAACATGATGGCAGAATCGAATCGTTCATCCCACTTCTTCCGACAGTCGTATTCAGTCACGATGGATGCGAGTTCCTCTGCTGACACGCCTTCGATTACCTTCTCGCCCATGTGAATGGGGATACTCGGAGATATCTCCGGGCATATCTTGCGTCGGACCGACATTCCTTTATCGCTGACTGGGATCCATGCTTGTGAATTGATACCGGAGTGAGTTTCTTGAGTCCAAGCCAGGGCATCTAAAGCATGTTGCATGGGAGATTTTGTGGCAGATGGTATGCTGCCAGCGTTCGCGGTCGAAATGATTGAGGAGGCCGATTGAGGTGCCGAAGACGACGTCTGATCAGACGAGAACATGAAGAAGCGTGCAAGCGGACTTGATATTTGAGGAGCAGAAGCCCATCCAGACGACGTTGCACTCGTCACACTTGCGCTAGGCTCCGAGGTAGCACAAGTGCCCTCTGAATCAGCATCCCATTCCTCTCGACGCTTGCGAATAACTCCAACGACAGGAGGTTGATCAAGGGGTATTCGCACAGGTTTGACGCGTTTTCGCTTTGACAGGAACTTGATCTCCTGCTCGGGGATCTCCTCAACGTCGACGTTCACCTTTGCTCCGTTCACCATAACAACTCCTTTTTCCTTTCCAGGACCACGACGCACAATAGCCAATAAGCGCTCATCGTCGACGAAAACGGCGTCATGGATGATGGTCAACCACAATCCACCACCTTCTTCAGATAACCGGTGTCTTCGAAGACACGAGATTGACTGTGGTGGCGGATCGATCACAATATCCAACGAAGATGCCCACGTATCAATGTCACATCTGAGTTCACATTCAATGATGGGCAATGTCTGCAAACTCAGACTATTTGATGCCGTATCACCACTTGTATCATTTGATCGACTGGCAGAAACTTCATATTCGATTCTGAAATTCATTCGTTCGTGATCATAGCGGATTTCATTCGCCTTCGCCCCAGCTAAGCGCGTCATCACTGGCGGACCACCGCACTTTATGGTAAATTCGCCGATACCTGCTAAGGCATTCATCATCTGCGTGGGTACCGACGTCTTATTCGTCCAACCCTTGGGATCTGACTGTTCGAGTAGGGTGACGAGGATGGTTGTTGGTGACAGTGCCTCGATCGCCCAGCCCTGCAGGTCCACCTGAGTGCGGATGACGTTAGGCTCTGCAGGTGGGATGACGGGGAAGAGATGTGGATCGTCTGCAGAAAAGGCGAATACATGGATGGTGGTAGGGGATTTATAGACAGTCTTGAGCACGACAGCATCTCGACCACTGAAATCCGTTATAAGTTTAAGCTTAAGTACGCCATATAAATACCTACTTGACTGGCCAAGCAGGCTTCGTTTTCAGATGCCAAAGTTCGGTAAGGTCGTTGACGTCTTCCAATAGTACGGCGTCTTCATGCTGCTTGTCCCAATAATTTCTGACCCCAGGTGTCACGATAGCGCCGTAGAGGTCCCAAAGCCCAACACCGACGAAAGTTGCTTCAGCTCGATATACTACAAGAGTTGGATCAATAGAATCCAATTGAGTGATCGTAACTCCACGAGCCTCCGTATCTTCATTGACAGACGTTAGATTGAGACCTGGTAGGGTGGAGAGATTGACTCACTTCGTTTCCACTTAGCTTCGGGCTCTTGCAGCAGGGAGGAGAAATATATGTAATTCCTCTTGACGCGAGACAAAATAGACTTCTCAGCGGCTGGAGAACGTTCGGTATGTGGACGAGTTATCGTGGGGGTAGATGAAGTAGAGGCGACACTAGTAGCACTAGCTACGCTGGTATTGAGGGACGAGGTGGTATCGAAGCTTAGACCAGCAGCGCTAGAGACATCCTGAAGAATCTGTGCAGAAATGGTGAAAGACGAAGGATCTCGTTCTTCCACTTCTTGTACCGTATGAGGGATACCGTTCAAGCGGAGACCACTCGACGGACCAGAAATTTCAATTATCACTTTGACTCTGAGAACAGAATGCTCGTCAATAAGTGGTGCATGAGAGAGCCGGAATAATATCTGATCGAGTGGAGCTGAGGTTGAATGTGAACTCGTTCGGGTCGCATGTGCTGACCACGGAAGTCTTTCCACCTCTTCGGATGATGCTTTGACAGAGATTTGTACGTCCCAGCCGACGGATGAAGGTAAAATGCATTCGATCGAGCGAGTGAGACGTCGATGCTCTCGGATGGCATGTAGTGCATCTAGACCCTGAGAGAACTCTGAAGAAGACATAACTTTATGTTCCTCTTCGTCGGGTATGATGGAGTAGTTAATGGTGAGGGCTTCTCTGTCGACTTGAAAACGGACGCGTTCTATAGTAACGCCATTTCCAAATCCAATCAGTTTTGGAATACGCATCCCACGTTTGAGAACTGTCTTGTACAGACCCAGCACCATGGTAGATAGCTGTTGCACTATGCCTGACGACGATCCGATGCTCCAGACGGCCCTAAGATCGTGCTGCCAGAAGCAGGTAACTCGAATTCGTCCTCCAAGAGACGGCCGCCTCTTAATAGGATCGCCGTCATTTGTCGACTGTGAGGGTTGTATATGTTGTATACACCAAGCGAATACTATCTGAGTCATCAGTAATGCAGGACGCGAACCTTGAGATTACTGACAAGTCACGTTTGACCGAACATAGGGAGGCGAGGGGCGCAGATACACTGGTTCGTCGGGGGACCGAGGTAACGAGGTAGAGACGTCAATAAATGTGGTCGGGTCGTGAAAGGAACGCGATATCGTAACCGCGTCACGCGGACTACCAAAAACCATCAGGTAAAAGATGAAGAAATCGATATAAGGACGCACTTTGCAGGCCATCCCAGTGTGAAATTCGTCTTGGATATCCGTGCTGTATGGTCAAACATCTCTACCATATGAGATTCTACGACCGCAGGATCCCATTCCTTCCTCAGCTCAGGAATGGACAGCACCATCTTCCACGACTCCAAAGAAACCGACTCTTCTGTAATGGGCACCTCTAGAATGAGGCGATATATATCGTCCCCTGGTTTCGTCGAATTTCGATGAATTACCACGTCAGACAGCTCCGGGGTGGATGTCATGCGAGATTTCCCTTTCCTGCTGGAGGTCGGCTCATTCGCAACAGAAAGGCGTTTCCATTCATTCGGTGATGAAGAGGAGAGAAGTTGTCGAAAATGAGTTTCCGCCTTGCTCAATGCATCGTACCATGACTGTCGTAGACTAAACAATAAGCCCTTTTACATTGCACACCGCATATAAATGCAATAGCACACCTAGAGCCGTCAGACATAATTCTTCTTAAGATCGCCAGTGAGGAGCTTGTAGGCTGAAGCCTCGAGGTCGTGGCGGCAAAGTGGGCGAATCGCCAATTCAGTCTGGTACCACGCAGTCATGACGTATGATACTGTATATGTCTATTTAATTCCAAAGGCGTCGGCATCCCTTTCGTGCAGCAAACGATCACCTGATCGTGATTCCTTTTCGCGGTTTCTTCCTCTAATCCTTATCCTCGTTATTTTCTGCATCAGTCATAGCGTCTGTGCGACCCAACAAAGAAACGGACCGTGTTGGCTGGAACAAGAGCTGGGAGCGAGATTTGGCATTTTTCCCTGCTGGTTGGTGTCTGATTCCAGTCTACCAAGGCAAGCCACAGGAAACTCTTCAATATCTTCGGCAATCCTCCATCCATCTTCTGGATGAATTCAACTCCAAAACGCGAGAAATTTGCACTCTTCAACGCGATCTGGTCAAGGCTGTCGTACCCGCCTTTGCACACGACGAGTTCGAGGAAAAATGGCGCGGGCTCACCCAAAAACGAAAGGAGGAGCTTGTCCTGGAAGGCTTGTACGTCACCTCTTGTGCTGGACCTGACATGGAGAATCGACGATGGTTGTGCCCGGAGATGACTGTGAAAGCACTCGCGGAAAATAATGACAAGGACTTTATCCAGCTCTTGAAACTGCATCTCCCCAAGGATCAAGTTAAGGACGATTTGACGGCCCCTATATATCTCCCAAACGCCCAATTTAAAAAAATGATGGAGACTGATCCAAATGACTACGGACTTCGTCGCTTGGTAGAAATGAACCGTTTGGAGAGAGCGTACTTCATCACGATGACGTTATGGAGCACTTTCAATGCATCTGTGCGTAGCATTGTAGAGATCCGCTGCACTCAGGAGAAAGCTCAAATCGTCGTCTGTTATAACTGCAAAAGAGACGAAGAATCTCTGCGAAAACAAGGGAGGGAGCTTCTGGTCTGCGAAAAGTGCAAACCGATCGGGCGTATCATCCCTTACTGTTCTCGGTAAGTATATATATATCAGCATTGTCCGATTTTACTGATTCAAAACTTCGAACAGGGACTGTCAAATTGCCGACTGGAAAAGTGGTTTCCCCGTACCGCACAAGGATATATGCGGCAAAAAAGGGTGCGATGCTGACGAAGGTACACCGCAATCAGATCAAGTCGCCATTTCTGGTGGATTGGGAGACGCAGATGGCGCAGAAAGAGATACCGGAATCCCAGCGCCGGATCCTGCTTTCAAACAACCGCCTGCGCTTCTGCACCAAATATCTCTCCACACCGAGCCAGATAGCTTTGTTGGCTATGTCGTCAGTGGCTCCGTTTGTCCTTCTCTTCTCAGACTTAAGCATGAATCCCGCAGTTTGTCAGGCCATATCCTCAAGATGATCATGGGGTCTCCCTGGGATCTGGAGGTGGTGACCAATAAATTATTCCGCACTTGATCTACTAACGATTCAAATCTCCACAGATAAAATGAAATTCCTCATTATGCGCCGAAGAGGTTCGTGTGCTTCTCTATAATGACGTGCCGGCAACCCTCCTGATTGTGGTTCCAGCGATGAAAACCGGCGACAAAGCGGCAGTCGCGACGATGTACAAAATCCTGCTACCGTATGCCGAGAAGCTCGCATTTGGAGGAACCAAGCTCAAAGCTCAACTTAAGAGTGAGTATGTCGTGGACGTGGACGAAGTCAAGGATTTGGAAACTTCAGCCGCCACTGAAGAAGAGAGGCAGGTTGTTCTGACTCTGATGAAGAAAAGTTTGAGGATACAGAATAATTACTCGGGACCGATGATTCACACTTGGAACGTACCAGACCCACGAGATTCCTAATACGGAGTTCCATAGCGTTGTATAATTTGATCACCTTCTGAATGTCAGGGGCATACGAAGCGGCCTGCGAATACCGTCATGGGAAGGTGATATAATAGTACAGAACACACTGACGTTAATGACACACCACCCTTAGATTTCAGCAGCCGTTTCTTCCTTTCCTCGAATGATTCTCCTACGAATTGTGGTTCTTCTGTTACCTCAATCATATACCGCGATATCAGGAGCATAATGACAGCAATCGCTTCTGTTTCGGCGAAGCTGCATACTTTGATATGGGAAAAACATGTCGTTCGGTAGATGAATACCACGCATCTTCTGCTAAGACATGCTCTAGCAGCGAGATTGAATGGCATGAATGCTTCCTTGGGCCAGTCTCCAAAAATCGCGAGGGATTGAATGTACCGGGGTCTTTCCAGTGTCGAGCTGCCGGCAATATACATTCAATGAATGATACAATTGAAAGGTCCAGCCTTCACGTAACTCACGATTATAATGCAAACCCGTAACATCCAAAAATATCGACGCCCTTTTGGGTATTGGAATTGTTGCACGTTCTCCTGTGGCGCTTGTCGCTACTAAAAAGGTGTCTTCGGCGCTTATTTTTGGTATAGCTGTTACCTATGGTTCTCGTAAGATCGGAGGTTGTGAAACGGACGGACTTCTTCAATCACCACGGGGAACATGCGAAGTGTCTCGTTGAACACGCTGCGCACGCGGTTAGATTATATACACGGAGCCCAAAGGAAGCGCACGCTAGGGAATACGTGAACAGAGGCAGCATTTCGTATCTCTGTAAAGGATCAAGTCGATGGGGTCTAGAAGCAGCAGTGACGGATGCGAACAGGGACCCGATTGCCTGGGATGATAGATTTGATATGCTGGTAAAGTTTTTCTTGCTCGTCGGAATAAAGAATCAGCATAGTGAACGCATATGCCAACGTATGAGCTATAGTCTTTGAGTCCGTCAATACAGGTTTGTCCTACTCACTCTAACAGAACACTCACCTCGTGTCCAGCAAGGAAAAATATAAAGATGTTTCCTAGAGGTCGGGGAAGTGAAGCCACACTAATGCGAAGACAACGATCCGCACCCATCAGCTCACTCTCGGACAGATGTGAAACATTTCCTTCATTCGCGTCTAGCAAACTACTGAACAGATCGTATCTTCCTTCTTTCTTTTGGGACGTGCGTCGGGTTCTAATCATTTCTAGCATGTATAACTATTATGCATAAACACCTCCCACAATATCTTATGAGATATACAAAACGTACCTCAAGCTCATTGTACGCGGCTCTAATCCGCCCCCATTTTTCAGTCAATCCCAGAGCCAATCGGGGGTACGGTGATTTGATGTGGGCTCCGTCACAAACATCATAGAGCGCATCTCTGAACATCATATTGTGTCCCTGCGGGATATCTGATTCTCCTCGCCACGAAATATTGTGACCAGAACCTGCGATACCGATAACGAACTGGGTGATCTACCCAGAAGATGAGAAGGTTGCACCGGCAGCGAGAAACAATCAACATACTGCCAAGGTAATATCAAGTACATTCTCGGTCTTTGACGCCCTTTCATCTTTCCATACATCATGGAATAATTCCTGCATGATGTTCATCGTTTCTTCCCAGGCAAATCTGTTGTTTGCCTAGCAGAATCGTGATTCACAACCTCACCCGATAAAGGGCCCAACATACTTCAGAAAAAGCAGGCACGCAGATCTTTCTGTATTTCTTCCAAAGTTCTCCTTCGGACGCAACAGTATTACTTCCGAAAACTGAGAGAGGTTCATAGAGTTTGACTGTCTTGGGAAAACTCGAGCGCGACGAAGTAATTTCCTATTCATGTCCACGATTAGATATGTTTAAAACCTTGAGAGGTCACCAGAAGAACATGCCTTGATGAGCGTAGCATCTACGACGTGGAATTTATGGCCTAGCGGGAAAGGCGACTATTGGATGCCATTCCTGGAGGATTTCTCTACTCCCAGGATGATTTCTACATGAGTATCAATACGTGGGGTCGAAATGAAAGCCCGAGAAACTACGAACCCAATCACGTTGACATTCGAGCGAAACTCAACATACTTTTGAATGATCCAGAGTGAAAGAAACGAAAAACACAGAACTAGAAACATGGTTGGGCCAAATCGATGGAGGAAGCAACAAACGATTTCTGGATGACGATGTTATCTGCCTCTCATGATCATGGGAGCTATTTCAGAATTCGGCCACGGCACCTCACACCCGAATAACGGGAAGGAAAAGAAATCCGAAAATGGCTATGAACGAGGGTCAGCGGTCACTGGAGCAGACGATACCTTTGTTCAACTGTTGGGCCAGAACTGGCGGGTTTCGAATAATTCGGATGTGAAATAAATTAACTTCCGGGGAGATATGATGGAGAGCATTGGGCCAGTTAAGGAGCTTGGGGAAAAGATGTCCAGTTAGGTAACCATCTCGTATTGTACGTTCTGTAGGTGGAAGAGGTGAATTTCCTTGGGTCTCGCAGGTATCCAAGGAAATATAGGATACCTCTCAGCAAGCCATGGACGGCTACAGCAGCTGGCAAAATGTTTAAATCCAAGCCCCAACAGGTGATCTTCTTGATCACGGCCCATCAGTAAGACGAAGATCTGCAGGACTGCGTGATAGCGGTGCATCCAGTGATCATGAATCTTAATATTCAAACACTGCATGAATTGGAAACGCAATTCAAATTACACTGAAATTGTGAATACTGCTTGGAGCTTAGGGCACGTCGATGTAGAGGGATGGCGACATACCAAAAACACCAACGCCCACCAGTGTCCTAGAAGGCCAAATCGTGTCGGTTTCACTTCGAGAGGCGGAAATTCACCGTAGATAGTTGAAGATCGAGCCAAAAGATTTAACGGAACAAGGATCCAGTCGAAAAGAATGATCCAGCGGCGGAGTTCGTACGGAATGCCGGGACCAACTCTGCGTGTCCGTTGCAATAAGGAACGCCAAGGGATTTGCAGTTACTAGAGGATCATCGAGTTGCCATGGCCAAGGCCTAGCTTCGACAAAGTTCCGGAGATGAGTACCGTTGTAAAATTGGTCCATTATACTCTACAATGTTTACCATGGAAAGTGAACATAGTGAAGAGTTCATAATGGAGTTCATATGGAGTTCAAGAGATGGAGGAGCCTAGCGACGAAGCGGATAGTGCCGGGCCGGTCTGAATTTTGCTCAAGAGCACCACGTGATCTTCGTGTGTCTTCCACAAAAAGTTTCCCCGAGCACGGACGCCGCCTACAGTACCGTTACCCCGTCTTCAAACCATGCGAATTATGCCTAAATCTCGGGACTGGCGGCCTATAAAGACCATGGAGCCTTGGGCTGAACAGCAACCGACTTTCCACTTTTCTCCTTTCTCTGTCTCGAGGGCTGGTATCTCCTTCACAGAGAATCATCGCCCAATTACTTTCCTTCAGATCAACCCATTCGTTTACCGCGTCGATGGCGTACTCAAAAACTGCCTGCATCTTGGTCTTTGCTGCCTTGGGGATTAGACTAGCCTTGGGTGCCGTCACACTTGAGTCCTATGAGGACACGTTCTCGTTGGCAGATTCTTTTGATCCTATTCAGGCTGCGTATTGGACGGGCGAGTCAATATTTTTTGTCTCGTTCTGAAAGGCAAGCTTATTTTCGTGAGTGCAGGACTACCTCACCACCGACGTACACCCTTCGCAGTCGCGCCTGACGGCGCGACGGGATACCTCGCGTACCTCAATGCGGGCCAGACCTCGGTTCTAGTTCAGCAAGTCAACACGACCTCGTTCACCTCTGTTGGCGACGTTGTTACTATCACTGGCACTGAAGGTGAATTTTCTCCACCCTGTTCAAAACACAGTGAGACTTATCCCGTTGATCTTAAGCTGGCGGCCTGGTTGCCCACGACGACGGCTTTGCTGTCCTTATCAAAACCACTGCTACCGGATCAGAAAATCTTCCCACTGACGATATGCCCATTGCGGTAGTCGTACGGTATACAGACGGTGAATTGTCCTGGTCAACAGAATTGAATGGTCCGTCATCTTATGGTGCCGGCAGCATTGGGGTATTATTTTGCGCGTGCCTGCTCAATTCATTCCCCTAATTCTGTATTTAATAGCGCACTGCGACTCCCGATATTAATGGCGATTTCGTCTGGTCTGAGTCGGCTGGTCTTTATGGTGCCTACTACGTCGTTACTGGTGAGCTTCTGTCCGATTCGTTCGAAAACTGCAGCAGACTGACTAACGATCTTTGAAAGCGTACGACGGTGATGCGTCTGGCCACTATGGTGACGCTATTTCCTATGTTGACGCAAACGGTACGCGACAAGACTCCACTGAGGGCACCAGCACCTGGGGCTGCTCACACAACACTGGCATCGGTTTCGAAGCCGCTGATGCTGCTCCGTTTGCCTCTATCTGTGCTGAGGACCAAGGGTGAGTCACATACCTCCTTCCTAGTCCTATCGCTGACTGCTTTTAGTGCTATCTGGTTAAACACGAACAACCGAGGAATGTCCAATGTCGGTCAGAAAATTTCCAACGAAAACACAACTAATGGTATATCTTACCTTGAAGGAAATGTCTCCCAGGTTTCTGACGCGTTACTCTTAGGTTCCGGCGGCGAATCGATGTACGGAATGTCTGGGTCCTACTCCAACTTTGCCAGGTTCTCTACTTCCGAGTCTTATATCTTCGCCTGGCAGTCGCGCGGTGCGACCGATCTTACCCTAAACGAATGGATGGGTGACGGGTCGGTCCTACTTTCTTCATCCACCCTCAGATCAGCTAATGTGTCCGTAGATACACCTCCTGCAGTCCCCGCTGGCTCCATCACAACGTGGCCATCGCCGTCGCCTCTGATAAAGAGACACTCTCAGGCGACCAAGCTACCTCCGAAGTCGGTGCAACTGATGGTGACACCCAAATCACTTGGGTGACAGAGGACGATGGCTCTGACCACCAGAACATCCATGTTGAGGTCTTTGACACATCTAATGCCCTTGTCACATACGAAAACCTTTCTGACCCGACTTGCGAGCCTCTTCCCCTTTCCTGCACCGGTACTTTCTCTGGCACTAGGTATATGGTCCGTCTAAAGATTTGAGGTACATGCTGATGTGAACTGTCCGATAGCTTCCAGGTTGTCAGTAGCAGCGGTGAACTAGTTGGTTCTCCTGTTGTCGAGGAGAGTATCACAGTCTCTGGCGATATAGCACTCCTTGGAGACGGTCGTCTCTGCTGGCCTTACGTCAAGCAGACCTGGGATTTGAGCGCTGCGAAGGATAGCGGTACCCCCACTTCCACGATGTCTTTCGCCTGTGCTTCCCTGAACGGAACACAAGTGAGTGTTGGGTGGCCTTTTATGTTTCTACCGTCAATTGAGACGACTTTCTCTTTAGAATTCAAACTCAACCACCTCAGAATCGACTACTGCTGCTGCAATAGGGACAACTGCTTCCACCAATGAGGCCGCAGAGACGTCTATTGCAACCACATCTGTGGACACCTTGATCAACATAGCGTCCAGTACTACTGTTGTCTCTGCCAGCGGCGCATCAGAGGTTCTTTCAGCAACAGACGCCCCCTCATCCACTGTCATCAGTGAACCCGTATCTACAGAGACGACTACAACGATCACAGATGCTGGTGGTGTGTGGCCAACGGGCGGCTGGGGCTCCTGGAACCCGTGGGGAGTAAAGAGGTATTTCAGCGTGAGCAGTTGCCCTCATTGTGCTTTTTCCCATCGTCGCTCTGAGGGGTCGTAGTTGATACTTCTATGAGTATTACGAGTATGATGCTGATTTGGATCAGCTGCCTGGAGCACGCTAACTCGAGGTGTCTATATACTTTTGCGTTACTTTCCGTCGTTGACAAAATTCTTGTATAGCATTCTCATGTATTATTCTGACATCACAATATTTTGACTGCTTGCAACCTTCATGCTAACCAACTCTCATATATCAGGTTATAGCCTAGATCGCCGAGTAATGCATCAAAAGAGCAAGCATGAAGATCCAAATTGATACAAATAAACCCCGTCTTCCTTCTCTTTATTATCCAGCTCCTTCATTCTGTATTGAAGGCTTCAAGTGCTTGGTACCACGCAAAACGGTCTATATTTCTATGCAGCACTCAGGATGTCTGTTCCTTGTGGTTGGTGGCGTCTGTCATTTGAGTCGTGCTCGCATACTCCAGTAAGTGCCCAAACAACTTTCAAGCTGTCTTCCTTGACCTATAGAAGCGTGAATATTTGAATGCCGTAAGATTTGACTTGGCTCTAGTTGGACATCGAAGGTCGTCGAGTACTTGAAGGATACCTCCAACTCGTCGAAAAAAGCTTACGCGCTCCGAATCGAATATCTTTCACAGAAGCTTTCAGCCCCGATGTTTGGCTGGTCACCATCTGAAAATCTAGTGCTGCCTGCTCTTTTTTTGGTCCCAATTGTACAGTATCGTACGTATATCCTACACACTAGCGTATGGTCAGATCGCCCTGTCGCGTATACTACCTTAACTACATCCTGTCTAGACGCGTTATTTTGCTGTCAATCTTTTCTCCTTTCTAGAGTGTTTGCTTCTGTTTGGATAGCTTGGACTGATAGCGCGTCAGACACGAAGCTTGAACTGCCCTTCAACGTTAGTGCTGTCCATGATGAACGGTTTTTCGGATCTTTTTCCAGGCCCTACCTCTAACAAAAACGCGCAGATGCCATCAATTTAACATGGAGAATCGAACCCCGAGCCACTGCAATAGGCTCTTAGACGAAGCGTCCGCCATTTTCAGACATCTACTTGCAGACATTCCCAGATTAAGGGACGGCCGCTTCTTCTATCCCCTAACCTCAACCTAGGTGCTGAAGATGTTGCCTGCTATCCGTAAACGAAGACGCGTATCAAATTCTTAGGTGCCGAATTCCAACCCTACTTTGAATATGTAGTACAAGTTTTCGTTGCTTTTCCATTTAGCCACATGAAATCCTCAGGATGGGCGGAGCCCGATATTGAACTGAGTAGACCCCATACCGGAAAAAGAGATGCTCTGTCGACGGGTCCATGCGGTTAGGGAGTTGCGCGACAGGCCCACATTGAATGCCAGTGAGCACGTCTCGGCTATGCTCATTACATATCGGCTCCTGCGGTACTTCAAGTATCCACTTGCCAGTCACCGGCTGACAAGTAGACCACTTTACAAGCTCGGAAGAACTGCCCGTAACTTGACATGTGTCGTTTGGGTGAGCTGGTTCTCTTTCGACGGATCCCGCACAAGTCTTTGACACTGGTTCAACATAGCCGAAGCCAATTCCGTCACTGAGTCGGTCAATATACTAACCACAAAAGGCACATAATAGTTTATTCTACACGTACAGTACTATGCACGTCACAGAGCATTTACCTTGCTTTCCTTCACATCTCGCTCAAATGACAAACGTATGGACATGCATTCCACCAGTTCATCTTCACCGGCGCCGTGTTCACTCTCGTGTTGGCTCCGCCAGCAGAGTGCCTTGAAGCGCGAGCTGCGTTTTGACTGCGATTCCGCTGCTTCCTCGATAACCAGCTGTTCGGCGGTCACGATCAACTTATTCACCGCTCTGAGCGGTGAAAGTCAGCTAGAAAATATCTTATTTTCCGATGGCTCTCTGACATGTATACTTTACATTCTCTGTAAGATATTATACCCTGTTGTTTGGGTTGGCGCTCATGTGCCTTATACAGCCCAAGGCCGGCGCGACTGTCAGTACAGCTGGCGATATCACGTTCACCAATATCTCTGGTGTGTATCATTCACTGACAAATGAGTCGAATGCTCAATGTCCACAGGCTCTGGCCCTCTGTTCGACAGTGATAAGGCCATATTCAAGGGCGCGGGACACAAGTTTAACGTACGTCGAGCCAGTTTGTCGCTTCTTCTCCTTTTATAATCTGTTGCACAGGGAAACGGCGCCTCATACTAAGGCACGAACGGTGGTGTTGATGTAAGTTTGCCTGTCAACAGTGATTGCATCCAAGCTTTCTCGACCAGCATCTAGGTTCAACTGCTCCGGGACCTACTCTCAATTAAGTAGCAATAAGAATTGCTTACCCCTCTTTCTAGATAAAACCGACGCGAATGATAGATCGACAACAGCGTTGGAGTCACCAACAGTCCACGTCAAAATACTGACGTGAATGTGAACCGTCATCTAATGGGTGAGAGACCGAGCGTTCGTTGGGCATATAGGGCTTCGATCTTTCCCATGACAACATCACAATCCAAACTCCATCGTCAACTAGAAGCAGGATGATTGTATCGCTATCGACCCCGGCTATAACATTGTGTACGTATTTTCAACGTTTTCCTGTTAGCGGGAAGTGTCACTCAACTACACTTTCTATTTTCCAAAACAACTAGTGCTCTGGCGGTCATGGCGTTTCTATTGGTTCCATTTCTACTAGCAAGACGGCGACAGACGTGACTATCTTTGGAAACACTGTTAGGAACGCTATATAGGTTCTCATGTCGCGCAGCTTGCATAATCAAAGTCGAGGCGGAAGCCACAAGCTCGATGTTGTCGGGCATCACGTACTCTTGGTGAATGCTACTTGATCCTCGTTCTAAGATGGCCTGCAAATCCGTTTTTATAGCAACACCATCAATGGTATCATCGTATACGGCGTCTTGATCTCACAGTCGTACCCCGATGAAGCAGACACTCCCGGAACTAGCAGTCCTATTTCGTGAGTCACCTTTGCGTTGCATGGGATAAATTGGTTGTCTCATACACTTGTTTACAGGTGCGTGAGCTTCACCGGCAAAGCTACTAGTCAAGTAAGTTGTGTATTTCACTGACGTCGGCTCTCACTCATGCCCTTCCAGAGTCTGAGACAAGAAAACACGACGACTAGTGACTAGTCAGGGTAAATCCAGTGGCTGTGATATTTTCGAAAAGGTGCCAAGTGCGTTCTCTTTCCAAGAAATAATACTTCTCTCTCAACTGACAGTCACCGGAGGCTCAGCCTGGTCGGTCTCTAGTAATTTGGCCACCGAGTGTCTTTTCCTTCGCTTAACTCCGAAAGAAATCTCTGACATCGGCTATAGATCTCTGGTGTATCATATTACATTATCAATGAGCGGATCGTAAAAGATCGTAATCGTCTGCGTATGATGTAATAGTAGACATATTTCCGTTCTTACATCCTAGAGATGAAAGACACGAAGTATATTTGAATACTGCGCACATGCAAATTGAATTCTATGGTATGCAACTCACTCCGCGTATTCCGCGGTTCATCGCCCACGTTTTTGTTCCTGTTGTCGACGACTGAAGTATTCTGATCATGCCCCTTCTCCCGAATTGAAGTGGATTCGATGCGAACAGATCGGAATACAATCCGGAAGTCTAGGAGAGAAGTCATCATTGAAGGCCCTGGCAGCGTAATATATAGTCTGTGTATCATCGCTTTATACTTAGCGCGGAAACTTGTGAATCGAACACCTAGTAAAGTAACTATCGCCCAGCTTGGCTGACACGTCGCTTGCGGATGATAAGATGATGGCCATACGTATATCCTGGCACCTGACCGAGTGAACGCAAGTGAATCGGCGCATTTTTGGACTTCCTTCATCCTTGATTAGCTCCCATGAAGAGTACACTGCTGTCGTCGCTCAGAAAAAAGCCTGAGGTACTGTCGTATTCCAATAGCCTCTTCTCGACCTAACATTTCATCTATCAGCACCAAGTCGCTTCATACGGGTCAGCGGCATCATCCACGGTCACGATTTTCTCCCTCTTGAGTAATTCATGAGAGAACTGACTGCGCTTGGACAGGCCACCCTGGTACAGAAAAACGTCATTAAAGATGAGAAGCAAATCCTTCCTGTTGTCGTAGGTACCTTCACTAAGGTGGTATTATATTACTGAAGATGAAGACTCAGGCAGAGCAACTCGAGGAAGAGAACATGGCATGGGGTCCACGTCGAAGAAGGGAACAGCGTGCCTGAACAGCTCACAGGAACTCGAGACGGTGCCTGAGAGAGGATATATATGGCTGCTGCGAAGATAATATTAGATCTCGCCTAGTCTTGGTGAAGAACGGATTCATAATTAATAATGATGATCATGGTTCGCGATAGTCAAAGTATTATTGATATAAATGCATGTCGCCACTGCGAAAGGGGGCGACGTGTTGGTGAGTCTGCGAGATATCTTTTGTACTTACTTTTGAAGGTGCTATTCTGATATACGTTCAGAGTCCGGGGTGAATCGTCTTTGTTCTCCTGTGGCATACGCTGTGACTATCTGGACTGCGACAAAGTTAGCATAAGAATTCTGGATCCCCTTAGGCAGCTCTAGATCTCCTAATCTCAAGGCGGTCACGATACTGTACGAGAGTGTGATCCAGTATTAATATCACTGATGCCAGGCATTATTATGCACCTCGCTTCCAACGAAGCCAACTCTCCCATTGCTATCAGGAACTTGGAGCCTGGGCCCAGTCGAATCTTGGGCGTGAGCAGTGAGGGTAGTCGCAGTGTGAAGCACTGTACGTCACATGCCATGTGTGCTACTTAGCTTACCTTTACTTATGATATATTAACCTTCTTGGCTATATACTGTAATGTTACTGTAGTGCGCTAGACTGGTTGACCGTCAGTCTGACCACTTTAGTGGTCACAAGTGGGAAAGTGAGATGAGAGTGACTGAAGAGTCTGATAAATTAGGATTCGGATTTCGCAAGTTGCAGCGCCGTCGCGGGTGGCCGTGAAAGTCAGGTGAATGTCACGAGTTTTCTTCGGACCGATGCAAACCGCGTGTTTTTGCTGCATTCTTACCATTACTTACTGCGCTTCATGCACCATGGAAACTCCATGGAAAGAATCTTTCATTCCGGGTATTCCTCTCGATAACTTTGAATTATTTTTTTTTGCTACCGAAACCTGTCTTCTCACCCGCAAAATCTTTCCAATCTGCATGAACTCCCTTCAACAACGATCCCGACCTTACTATATACAGCACATATCCAGTCAGTATGAGCTGTTGTATATTCCAAGCAAGTACCACAAGCAGGATTCGACGTGTACACGACAATATTCGCGATGGACGCATCTCGGTCCCGAGCACACACTACCAGATGCTCTCCGTTCAGGTTGGCAATGATCTCGATCCAGCAACTCCGCCTCAGGAATTCCTGACATATGCACTCGCCTCAGGGGAACCAACTGGTCATCTAAATGAGAACTACGGACTCGGGGGCCGGGACGATATGGTCTTATGCACCAATTTCCTCGTATTTTTTCTCACGCTCTTCCGGTCGTAGAGCCATCAGACAATTTGTTGACTGCGATATGTTTTCCCTTCAGACTGTATCATACTGTGTATCGGTATGAGCAATTCTAGGGTCATGCCTGTAATAACCCCTTCCTAATGGGCCGGTTTAGCTTCTTTCATCCTTTGTCAACTCGAAGACCCTTCTTTCTCCGCTTGACGCTCATAATCTGAGTTTATCTCGGTACCGAAAGCTTCCGTGCCAAGGGACACCTCATTGTCTCATCATGTCTTGTCCGAAGTACTGCATGTTTTCCAGGCGATTCGATCACGGTACGATAAAGGGTCATCAAAGCTATCAAGTCATCACCTCTGCCATACAGCGTACCGATTTTTTGAATCTATGGGTTCATTGCGACAGTTCTCGCGATATGGGCCTGTTACACGGCTTCGTGCTTCATTCGTGTGGGTCTACGAACCTTTCCCTTCTTCTTCACATATATGAGGGTCTCTTTATGTTCAAACTTGTCGGACGTTATTGTAGGACGTTTATCTGATGAAGTACGAAATATCCCCATTGACGGCGTAAAGTATGTGCCGAGATCTCACTTATAGATCACTATCTAAATACAGTCGTTACAGCTAACTTTCGTGGCTGGCCGTTCTGGATTCCCCCCCTTCACGGAGTCTTTCCTCACCTCAACGACGTTCACACATTCTTCTCTCACCATTATGGTCTGGGTTATTCTACATAAAGTAAGAGAACAACGTTGTAAGCACTCAGTCGGCACAGTATGGGTGAAATGACTTTATTGACAGGGTACAACAGGCATGGTAGATGATGCTTCTAGCCACAACAAATCAGAGGTCTGATGCATAGCATTATTGCAAATATGCTTCCAGAGCTTTAGTCTTACTATCCCAAGTCAGAGAACAAAGGCTAACCCAGACCATAGTAGCAGACTAAGCAAAGTGGTTGAGAATCGAGGCAGCTCCAGTGAACCACCAATCTCTCCCAAGAAAAGGGCTGCACTGCAAGACACAGATAGGTTTTCAACCATTACAACCTATGCAGAATCCACTGATTCTCTTCCCTTGTTGCCAGAACAATTAGTGGCTCAAATGCAGAGCCACTATGGCGCTCGAGGAGTTACTCGTTTGGTAGTGCCTGAATCTGATAACAGTCGGACACAGAGGTGCCAGACCATATCATGGGAAGTGATAGCCCAAGACTTTGGTCTTTGTAGCAACCAGAATCATGTCTAGGAATAACTTCGAAGTGTCACTCACTAGATATATAGTTCGTTCGAGGCATGTCAGCAAGGTATTGGATTATTGTTATCCTACGTCACTTCGGATATTTATTATACATCGCCGTAAGCACATTACTGCTAATAACAACTGTCCATCTCTTTTCCTCGGACCGGCCAATAACAAATATATAGCGCGTGTCTGATCATATGAGTAACACGTGTGCGTGTCAACGATTGCCAGCCACGACGTTACCATCTATTGTCCAAACCAAAGGTTTGTTGCTCGACGTTTAGCATCCACTGTCAACCGTGACAATGTCCAAACAGCCACAGGAAATGTACCAGCGAAAATTTAACATATCTATCCTCAGTCCCAACCTTGACCAGTTCTGGGTTGACACGAGGCTCTTCCTCGAACAATCAGGTTACAGATTACCCCCCAAGTTCGATCCCGCGTGGGTACCAAAAAATGCGATCGAAGAGCGACAAGCTTTAGCTCGATTTCCGGTACGATTCTGTGACATCCGTACATTATCTTTCTCATCGTCAGGCTCTTTTAGCGAGATTTCCTTACATCTGCGGTACGACTGAGTGATAACACACCTGTCATCCTGAAGAGAGTCGAAATAGGATCACCGTAATTCGAAATATCAGTTCTATTCTCGTCACCACCTCTCTCCCTTGATCCACGAAATCATTGCATTCCTATCCTTGACGTCGTGAAACATGGCGACCACGCAATCCTTGTGCTCCCGGTATTACGACTCTTCTGGGATCCTCCTTTCGATACCGTAGGAGAAGTGATCGAATGCTTTAGACAAATATTTGAGGTGTGTATAGTATCTTTCACTTCTTTCGTACTAACTGAGGCGATACCAGGGCATCCAGTTCATGCACCAACATTTCGTCGCACACCGGTAAGTCCATCGTTCTGAGTGTACCTAATTGCCTGACTCTTGACCTATATGGAGGGATTGCACGCTCATGAACATCATGCTGGATCCCACAAAGATGTATCCAAAAGGTTTTAATCCTGAACGACCTTACATGAAGGTTGACCGTAGTGGTCACGTTTCGCCAAGTTGCACGCGAACTGCGTGCTGGCCACGGTATTACCTCATCGACTTTGGACATGCCCGTCGATACGATCCAGCAGATGGTATCCCTAATGAGGCGATCATTCGGGGAGGAGACAAAACGGCACCTGAACATTGCCACCCTGATCCGTCATTAGCGTGCAATCCGTTTCCTACTGACATATATTACCTTGGAAATCTGCTCAGGGAGTATTTCCTAGATGTACTTGCTTCTCGAACTCGCACTAGTCTTATACTGAATGTCGCTTTTAGACAAAGGAACACTGCAATCCTACCAGAATAGGACTGGACTTTTTACGGCCGCTCGTAGAAGACATGGTGAAGGAGAATCCTTCTGAACGGCCTACCATAGATGATGTGGTAATACGGTTTGACGCGCTGGTGAAATCACTTTCTTTTTGGCGTCTCCAAGCCGTGACTCAACTGGGAAATCAACCACTCTCATTTCCTTTCGCGTATTTTGTTCGCCGCTTAAAATTCGCTCTCATGTTTAGATCTCCGTTACAGAAGATTGCTGCTCCGCCTTCTCGGGTCTTGCCTGCTATGCAGGACTTTTATACTGGGAATCGATAGCGAGTTGCTGAGGCATCTGGGGGTTCCCCCGCTTCAGCTGTGTTATAGACGCAGAAGCCGTTCGGATAATTCACTCATACCGTAATAATATGCCGTCACTGACATTTATGAAAGGAATGCAACGTCTGAAAGATAAAAGGGTGCAAGGCAGTTTATAATGGACGCCTGAAGGTAGTTATACCCGTTTTTTTGGGATAATGACCGCCTGGGAGGCTGCGCTGAAGGTCATGGTGCAACGACGTAGACCATATTTTGTTAACTTACTGCGTCTTGAGCCGCAGCGTGATCACTGACCAGACCAAGACCAAGCCCAAGAAGGGATGTGATATCAGCAATGTCAACGTGTTCAAGGAGATGAGTCTAGTTGGTTCAGCAGCGTCTAGGTACGTTCCTTCTCCCTGTATCTGACTCAGTGGTTAAATGCACAGTGTCCAATGCAGATTCCGTCTAGATGGTGGTGGAGGTTTCGAGTTCAACTGTTCACAAGATAAAGGCTCTACTCTTGTGCTTCCCAACGGTGCAGCACAGTACCACGCCTCCAATATATCCCAATTTCGCCATTATGTTGCTAAAAGGCCCGCACATGCTCGCGGTAGAGAGGCTCCCAATGAATAGTTGTATCCGGTCACCGGCTACGATAAAGCTTTGTTCGTGAGGGCCGGCCTCTATCTTCGACCCTGCTGATGCGTGTTCGTTCTCAGTCAAATTCCTTGTCGGCAGGGTAATGTTGCAACGCTGCCTATCATCTCCACAAACATTATTCTAATCAATGCATCTTTCCCCGTGGGTTCGGCATCTCTACACGTACCAGAGCCTTTCTTCTTCATTTCCGTCTTGGCACGGTGAAGATCAGGAGCAATGCAGTCGTTCAGGAGCCGGTCCGCCCAACATGGTGATTTTCTTGACTTGCCCTCTCCTACGTCAGCAGGCCCGTATGCCGTCCCTCGATTTTGACAGTGCCTCGTTGAGCCGAAGTGATCTTGCACAAACGTTGAACGAAGACATGAAGACGTGTCTAATGCTACTCTCCGCGATGGTCCCAAAAATGGCTAAGTTTGAGCGTAAGGTTGGGGTAAGCTGGTTCGTGATCGACGCATGAGCCTCCATCATTCATGCTGAGGCGCAGCCTGTAGGACTCGGTCTGTCTCGGATGTCAGCAAGCCCTTCCCCTACCCCTTCGGCCGATACGGGAATTCCTTGGTTATTCAACTCAGTATGCTACCGGCTCTTTCTCGGAAGATCACACATCTCATCGCTTCCATGTTTTAGCCAGTAATGTTTGTGGGACGGAGAAAGAAACTGGTTGATGACCATTGTCTGCAGTATGGCCGCTTTCTCACCTGCTCTTCAGTCCAACATCGGCTCATTCTGTTCAGCCCATTAGAAGCAGCATGGCATCTTCGAGACGTGCTCATACTCAGTACAATTGCTGTGTATAGGGACCTGGCGCGGAGAGAAACACGAGTGTTAATTCTCCGGGTCCGCCAGTTCTACACTGTAGGCTTCCATTCCTACTCGATCTTTGTTGTGCTCGTGAGTTTGACCAGGACATCGCCAAGGAAGTGAAGGGCGCCACCGCCGAGGCAGGAACTAATCAAAACCCAATGGACCTTCCACGCTTCGACTTTGAGCACGATAAAATAATTCAAGGACAGATTTGCACCTGCCCCTCACTCCAAATCCCTCGGACTCGCGGATCTTATGGCGAATGCTAGATCTTTCCAGCTACATGTACTTCTACTTGTACGTGTTTATGCTCTAGGTATTCATTGCGAGCGTATTACCAACGGAGTTTCTCAACGCATGTGCGAGAATCAACGAGTTCATCTTGGCGACTGTTCATTTCCCTGTTCGAAAAGTCAGCTCATGCTCATATCTCACCTGCAGCACTCGCATGTTAACTTGGCAATCACGCATTGCGCGTGGTCCTCGGCCAAAGTGTGTTTACGCACATTCTTCGGAGTAAATGCTCATTCATGGCAGGGCGACCATGGTTTCAACATCCCCTTGATTATGACGTTATCGTTCACAAAGGTGCATACCTTGTCTTCTCTGTTTCGATAATGGATACTGAAAGGGCAGCACAGGAATAGCTATGCTTGAAGCGTGGTAATCGGGCTGATAGTGATAAGTCGGACGCACTAGTTCTTTTTATTCTACCATTTGTTGCCATTGAAATTTCTCATACGTCGGCTGCTCCCTTGAAGTGTGATCAGAGAGGAGCGTCGAAACAAAAAAGACCGACTTTCGGCACTTTTACGGATGATGAAGCGTATATCGAAAGAAACATCGATTGCTTCTGTCCTAGATGGTAACCATGTCAGTACCCATAGTTCTTGTATCTAGGTGGGGAGCCCACCTAGATACATCTGACCATCGGATCTTGGAAAGCGCTCAGATGTCTTTGTACAAAACAGTCGAGCGACACGATCGGAGGCGCGAGGCGTTGCAAGAACACTGGACATTCAACCATCACAATGGAAGGAAATGGTGTAGCAGGTTACTCTTGGGAGCACGGCACACTTTTATAGTTAATTGATTTGTGATTGATGCTAAGATTTCCAGCGCTTGCCTACAGCAGGAAGATTACTATTCTGAGATTGGCCCCACCGGTGCCTATGTTAACCGAGTTGGTACGGATGAAGACTGGAATAGGGAAATAAGCGCTACGGTTTATTGCTGATATCAAGGTCCCTCCTTTCTCGTCGTAGCCATCACGGCTCTACTCGCGATTCTGCTCATCGCCGGGTTTGCTGTATACTGCGCTGAATCGTTGCTCTGGCGGATTCTCAGGCATAGATTGCTACGAAAGCAGACTCGTGGACTGGATCTCATTTGTGGCGGAAGGTGAGCCTGACTCTTTCCACCACTGACCACACAATACTGACGAAGAGTCTGAAAGTTTTTCCAGTCTGTTTGCTACTAGGGTATGCCACGATCACTTCGACGAGGTCGTCATCGTTGAGCCGGAAGCATGGGCGGATGATCCGAATGCTAAGCGCCAGGATGCATGGAATCAAGCGAAGCCTCGCTCTCGTATCAGGCAGTACAGGTCCTTACAAGGTTGTCTCAGAGTTGTTTAAACCACTTCAAGGGACTGACTAGCTGAGATCAGGGAAGGCCCTTTAATCATTTGCTTTCATGGCTTTATGTAACCTTTTCCCTGACCCTGTAAAAGAATGCGAAGCGTCAGATGTACAGTAAGCGCCTGATATTCAGCATTTCTTTTTTGCAAGTGTTGGATCTTCTGATTACCCGAGTTCGATGTGGGGACGATGGCCAAAGAAACCGTATAATCAGTGCCATGGGACGCTTCCCGACACAGTGATTCATCCTCAAGTTTCTTCATCAAGGACAACTCGATCCCTACCTACGCGGGGCTCTAATCAAGTTCCACATTACTTTGAACATGAGGCTCAATTGAAAGAGATAGATTGGCGGTGCGAGGAGCACTCGAAAGTGCCACAATGCTGAGCCTGCCTGGGCATCCTATCCAACATGTCAAACATGGGGAGGGCGCTATGGTTCATTTTCGAACTCACAGTGAAAGAGAGGTCTGTTAGCTTCTTCATATACCAACGAAGCCAGGCACCTTCAGAGAGGGTCTCCCCTGGAACTGGCACCGTAGTTGCGAACGCATAATCTAGAATCAAAGAGAGGATATTTGGATCAAATCGACAGGATGCATAGATACATACCGAATACTTTCGTTGTATTCCTGAATGTGACGCCGTAGATCAATTTCCGAATTGAACATTGAGAGAGAATAACGGGTACGCACCAAAGTGGTTCAATCTTATCCGCGTGTATCCGGAAATACTTCTTGGAAAAATCCTTGGGCAGCGAGACGGGGACGGTTTGCATTAGCTTATTCAGACAGATAGCACCATGGATTGCTTTTGAGAGTCCTTGTCTATAGAACGGTTATCAGTCAGATCTGAGCAAGAGCTGGCTGCCGAATGTACGCACCCAAAATTAGGATTGACTCTCATTACGCTGTCTCCAGAAGCGATCCAATTCGATGGTAGGTTGACTCCCTTCTCATATTTAATCCAAGTTGATGGCGCTATTAGGGACGGACCATGTTAGAAAAGCTTGCGGGCAAGGAGAGAAGAACTAGCCCTACCAAAACGGACTTGGCTGCACACCATAGTATCCTGTACCTCCTCCAACATATCCAACATAGCAAACCACTCCTCTGGAATTGGAACCTCAGTAATGAGGCTTCGAGCCCAAGCTTTTGCTTCTTCCAGAGTCTTTGGTAGCTCATTGTCGTTTGAACCGGTAATGCTGAAACAGAGTTGTACTGGAGGGTGCAATTATTAGCCTAGTATTAAAACGCTTTCAGAAAAATGTCTTAACTGAAATCACCGTCAATCTTTTGACTGAATATGCATCGTTTCTCCTTGGTTGCATCTGGGATAAACATATATATCACCCCACATATATCATACGGGACAGGGAGTCCGGGTAGCTTCCTCCCTAGCTCGGGGTTGACATGCAATTGGAGCGTTGAGTAAAGAACTTTCTGGTTATAGGAGATCTTCAGTTTGTCGAGGGGTGATTGATTTTTTGCATATGTATCGCTGATGCCATATCCCTCCCTTCGAAGCCAATTTCAGACCAGCGGCCGCAGATCCGGTACAATCTGTGGTGGAACAGATTAGAGAAGAAACAGATATGAAAGCGAAATCTAGTCCGACCAACGACGAGAGAGGCACCGATGTCGGTCATGTCTCCATCCGGAGAACGGACTGTTACCTTGTCGATAAAGTGAGGATTGGACACATCTCGTGAGACACCAACGACTGTTCCGATGACTTGTCGAACGTCCTTGTAGTCCCCACTGAGAATGATACGACGAAGAAATGTTTCAAGACCTGAACGACCAAGGTAGAGCGTTTTGGTTAGACAACCCCCGTATTCTTTGTAGGGCGTCATAGCCTTGCTTCCCCACATGTGGAGGTGCGGATAGTTAGGTCCTATTCTACTCAGGTACTTTAGATAAAATTTGATATGAAGGAGTTGGGACTCACCTGGTGGAAGACGATTTACATTCGTCTGCAAGGTTGGGAAACAACCTTTCCAAGGAGATATATCCAATGGCAAGTAATACTGTAGGCGGATAAATAATGTCTGGAGTCGAAAGATAGGATAGGATGGATGGAACTCACAATGAAATGATTCGTATTGCATAATTCTTGTGCGCTTGTTTTCTTGATTCCATGCGTCGGTACGTTTGGCATCCGAAGAGCTCAGCCACGCCTCTGGCTCGACGATGATGACATCTTCAAAATGATCATGACACACACAGGCGGCGGTCAGGCCTGCAATACTGGAAACCACATGAACGAGGGAATCGCAGGGTTTTGGCAGGACTACCTACCTTCCGCCACAGACAACAGCTGTGCCCTGGATTTTTTTGTCAGGGAGTCGGCGTCCGAGAGTATCGACATCTAGGACACAGGTCTGCTTCAGGAGAAATCTTTGGCGTAAAGCACGTTCAAGAAATAACATGGCGCAGTATATGCCTGATAGGATAGCAGCAGCCTGAGCCCATAGAATGTTTATGATTGTTCCAGGATATCTGTATGTTACCCTGAAGGGTTAAATAGTACCCTGTGGTCAACGAACGGGCGATATCGATCGCGTTGCTAAAATTTGTGGCGTCTGCAGAGAATGTAGAGTGATCTCTGCCTAATATCACGCAATTGAATATGTACTTACTGCTCAGGCAACGATGAATGATTACAATAACAATAGAGTACAGAGGCGAAGCCTCGAAGCCTGGGAGTGACGATTAAGGCAAAATGACAATGAGAGAGCATAGCTCATCCCACCTAGGGATACAGGATGGAGGTGAAGGTGAAGGTGAGAATGAGACAACCGCACCGATGTCTCTCATGAATCAGCATCTGCCAAGAATTGGCACTGAGTCAGACGGAACAGGTAACTCATCCTCATGGACGAAGCAGTGCTTCGTGGTGGTGAAGCCTGCAGATAATACCGATAGTGGATACGTGTACTTGTGTTTCCTTCATATTAGACAGAGAAAATGATTCTATGACTATGGCCGCAGTCCAAAAGCGTTGAAGCCGAGTCAAGATTAGGTGCGAATACGAAAGTCCAAGGTATGTCCGCTGAGTGCCTCGTCAAGAAATCTGTGTGTGATGCCGAGGAAGCACGAGACAGAGTCGAATTTGTGTATCCTTACGGGGCACCCATAGCACATCCCGTTATACTTCAGACGGCGGGAAACAATAACTTGAAAGATCCTTTATGACCGGTCGGAATAGACAGCCTGACAACATCATCTGGAGGTCCAGGATCGTACTTCAAGACGATGCTCTTGTCATGCCAGCTTCTAGCCATCACCCTTGCCACCAGAATGCTGGTGGCGAGGCTACCTCTGTTAGCGTCTAGTCTGGGATAACGTTGCGTCGTGATCTGTGCAACCTATTAGAAGAAGGGATAACGGACGGAACTTCAGCAACGAGCGACCTCTTTCGGTCCGCACCTGAGAGCGGTAGCACCTCGACCTTATAGACACATTTTTTCCATCAGGTGTCCAGATGTAGCATATGGTCAGACCTCGTCGTGCAGGGTGGTACAGCATTGAGGGAAGTGCATAGGCAGAGCAAAGGAATCAAGATGGGTAGAAATCGCCATTATCAATCCCGCTAAGCATTCCTGCTACGTTAGTACTAGGTCTTTTATGGAGGGATCGTGGTCACCGAGTTATTGTCCGTCCCCGAGGCCCGAGGTCACGGGAATTATTGAGTAGGGAAATATTTTGCGGCGTACCAGAGAAAAATCCCCGGTGTGGCACTGCCATTATGATCTGTCACAGTTTATATGTGACTCTGTTGCCATCACGCCCCAGTCTTAGGCCCCCGTCTTCGTAGAGCTGTTTCTCAGACTTTATTTCACCAACCATCGTGACACCCTGCCCCATTCCTGAGACTTTTGTCGCCGTATTCCAGTCTCTTTGACGATTCTGGACGATTACGATTTATGCTCCTTTACTGCCAATCCAATCCCGTCCTTCAAGCCTTCAGTAAATCAGAAATCGATCTTAGATACCGCACTGTGCGGAACAAACGTGGCTCTTACACGCCTTATTTGCGATCGATGATTGCTATTCGGGGAACGACTCTGCTTCGGCTTCATTCCCAAATCATTTACATGATATCCATGTTCGACGGAGAGAATGATTGCTTCATTTCCTTGTGACATCAAGCACTTTCGTTCCTCTTCGTGCCAACATGGGTTCACTATCGACTGCCAGCGCTGTAGCGTTGGTTCTGTACTGCGCTGGGTCACTTCTTTGGCGATATCTCAGATACAGGCTCCTTAGAAAGCAGACTTGCGTACCCGATCTCGAACAGCTGGGATTTTCCAGGAGCACGGATAAGAAGATCCACGGTACAGCGGTTATTTGTGGTGGAAGGTGCCACATTTATATACTTTACCTTCGGTGCAATATTGACAATGATTATTCAGTCTTGCGGGCCTCTTTACTGCTCGTGTTTGCCATGATCACTTCGATGAAGTCGTCATCGTTGAACCGGAAGTATGGGCGGACCGGCCGGATGCAAAGCGCCAGGATGTGTGGAATCAGGAAAATACCCGTACCCGCATCATGCAATACGAGTCTTTTCATGGTGCGTCTACCGTCATTCCAGTATCCATATTTACTGAATAAGTTACCAGGACCCCTACAACGACTCGCCTTTATGGCACTATGTAATCTATTTACAGGCTTTGCAGGAGAATGCGAGGCGTCAGATATACGGTATCTACGTGTTTAATGCGTTGGTTTTCGGAGCTTGATAAGTCGTTCTCTAGTGTTGGATCTGCTGATTATCCGGTCTCGACGTGGGGACGTTGGTCGAAGAAACCTTATGATCAGTATAATGGCGTCCTTCCCGACACAGTATTTGCTAGTCGTCCTGGTTTCGAAACGCTTCTGCGCCGTTTGGTCCTCGGCGGTCGTTACAAGAATATTCGCCAAGTTATTGGCACGGTCACCGGTGTCTCTCGTAACGCATCCAACCCTGAATATCTAGATCGTGTGACAATCCGTACCACCTCAGGCACACGAGAAATCAATGCTGCTCTGGTTGTTGGTTTGTTAACAAGTCAGTTCGTAGTGGACAGATGACTGACTGCCCAGAGCTTAGATTGTACCGGTTCGGCATCGGCGGGTATGAAATGGCTGCGACGCGAGGGGTATGGACAGTCAGAGACTTACCCTAGTGGAAAACTCCCTTTGGACGAACTGAAAATTGCATACGACCAGAAAATCATTTATTCGACGATCAAGTTTCGCGTCCCGCCTGAACTGGGCGAAAGGTTTCCCGGCCTTCCGACATCTTTCAAAAAATGTGGCCTTATCTATGTTTGCATTGCCGACCCTGCGTTGGACTGCCGCGGTATATCGCTTCAGCGTATTGAAGGAAACTTTGGTATGGTTCTTCTTATAATCATTGATTCGATCACGCCGAGCGGTTTATGTTACCATTCCAGTTCAAATTTGCTGTGCCGTTTTTGGCGCAGACGAGCTTCCCCGTACAGTTGAAGAGATCAAAAAATATGCACAGTCGATCGTCACTCGAGACCCTATGCCGCCGTCGCTTTTTCAGATCCTTGATATGCTGGAAGAGGTCGAAGATACCATGACTTGCAGCCAAATTCCATTCCGTAATGTCTTTCCGAAACTAAGACACTTCTCGAGCTTACGGATCGCCGCTCAGCTGGGGCAAGTTATATAAGGTTCGACAAGGCTGTCAATCTACCACCGAATTGGATAGCTATTGGCGACAGTGTCATGAAAGTCAACCCTCTGTTTGGGCAAGTCTATTCGTTTCAAATTTCCGGACTGGAGTTCAAACATTTCGTTGTATTGTAGGCAAGGAGTCGTAAAGGCGCTGATGGGTGCGATATGCCTTAACACCTTGTTGCAAAAGCGTGACGCCACCGCTGGAATCCCGAGAGACTTTTCGGCCGAATTCTTCGAGATGCAGGGTAATAAGATCTCGCCTTTCTGGTAGGTCACCGCTCTCCTATTGTATGCTTGTTGAGCTGAGTGACATCATCAGGGATGCAGACAAGGTTTGGGGTAGGCGTTGTGTCGCCTCCAGCTGAAAATGCAAATTAATTCAGAGCTTCTAGATTACGGATATCATACCACTGTTCCTATCGCTGGAGAGAAGCTGTCCGACAGCTGGTTCCCTCGATGGTACACTAGGAAGCTCATCATGCTTTCGTTTGATGTGAGGTCGCATCTTGACCTCGTCGGAAGAAATCTAACACCCTTTGTCCGCAGGATGTGCAAGCGGGGTCCATACTATGGCACATTAATATGCACCTTGCGCCTCCAATCGATGCTATGCACCCGCGAATCGTCTTGAAGATCCTTTGGACCACCTTCAAGAGCTTGTTTGGGACAGAATAAAATTATAGGCATCTGCCGACGCCGCGATTGATCTAAATCTCATAGCTTTTGTGTCCGTGAAAAAGCACGTCTCTAATAATGGTTTCCGATTTGTGACCTTGCTTGCTTTAATAGTGCTGGCTTCAACAGGGCATCAATGCTCGTCTAAGCACTGATTGCAGGTAGTAACCGCAGTGAATCAATCAGAAATGATGGAATAGCTCTCCCTGTGTCCCATGTCGGTTTGACGAGGGGACAAGTACATACGGCCGAGGGTGTTCGTTCAGAAGAAATTTGCGGAAGACAGTAGTAAATCCTCAACAAGTATGTCGATCCATAGCCATTCGGATAGCATGACATATGTCATAAGAGGTAGTATGAATGGTTGCACTGCGTTATTATGGAATGGGCTTCAGTCTGAGAAGAGGATTACACGTCGGTTCTCTCCTCACGTAAAATTCCGGCCTCAGTTCTGCCCATTAATCTGCCGAGCTCGGATGTCCTCAAACTGTTCGTCTCCGGCGTCCGTATCTCATATCTAATCAGGGGCCGATTTTCGGGACAAATGCCCTTTCACGTCCATTTGAAATCATGTTTAGATTCATGCTGCAACCCCCCAGATTTAGGGTGGGGTTAAAACTTGAGTAAGCTGATCGCTAGGATGAAATTGTGTCCTTGAAGGAATTCCACAGCACTTTGGATATCAGCCCAAGTTGCACAATGTCTATCGGCGGTGCAAGAAGTGTCCTGACATGCCATAGTGCTGAACCTGCTTGATTGTCCTGTCATTACATCAGAAGCTGTTCAGAAAGTACGACGAAGATGATAGTCCTACCGTAAATGACAGCATGGTTAGCCTCTTTAGGTACCACCGAAGCCAGGAATCTTGAGATAAGCTTTCGCCAGGAATGGGGATCGTGGTTGGATATAAGTAATCTAAATGGCAAAAGTAAGGATCAGTAATAACCGCGACCAGATGACCCGATTATTGTACGCGCCTCCCACTTTTGTTCCAATCCTACCGCGCATGCGATTCAGAAGCACAATAGCATACTATGAAAAGGGCTTACCAAAGTGGTATGATCTTATCAGCCTGCATGCGGAAGAAAAGATTGGAAAATCCCGAATGTATTTCGGTCAAATTCTGCAGCAAGACATTAATACAAATAGCACCGAAGAAGGCTTTTGTGCATCCATGTCTGTAACCGTGATTACCTTTAGACAACTGACTGAGAAACAAGTCGGAGTGGACGTACCCATAGATTGGATTGACCCTCATGACACTGTCACCAAGCGCAATCCAGTTCGATGGCAAGTTAACACCTTTCTCATATCGGATATAGCTGGATCCGGCTTGTAGTGCCTATTAGCATTGGCGCCGATATGCATAGAAAGTGCTTACTGAAATGGACTTTGCTACACGTCATGGTTTCCTGCACCTCATCCAAAGCATCGAGAAGTTCGAAGAATGACCGAGGAATCGGCTTCTCGGTAACGAGGCTTCGAGCACATGTTTTGGCTGCATCCAGAGTAGTCGGAAGCTCGCACTCTCCCATAGCACCAAAACAAATCTGGACTGAAAGGCGTCAGCAAAGCATTCGTGAAAGCAACGAATACCTTACTGATGTTTTTATCCACGCGATTAGTATAAAGGCTCCGGTTCTCTTTGGTGGGGTCTGTAGCTAGGCAATAAATTATACCGCATTCAGCAAACGGAACTGGGAGGCCAGGAAGCCTCCTAGACATCTCTGGCGGAATGCGGAACTGGAGCGTCGTGTAATGGAGCTTCTGGTCGTACGCTATCTTTAGCTCATCTAGTGCTAGCTGGTTCCTGTTGTACGAGTCCTTGAAGCCATACCCTTCCCGTCGAAGCCATTTCAGTCCTGCAGACGCAGGCCCTGTGCAGTCTAAACATCTTCATCTAAGCAAAAAAAAAATACATGACCATTCGTATATCAGACCTCACCTACAACAAGAGCGGCTTTGATACTACTTGATCCCTCGAGAGTGCGCACGGTCACTGCGTCGAGGAAGCCAGGATCAGATGCGCTGCGACACACACCAGTGACAGTACCGATAATCTGACGGATGTTTTTATATCTTCCACCAAGGACTAAACGCCGAAGGCAGGTTTCGAGTCCGACGCGGCTGGCATACATAGTCTTGGGAAGGGAGCCACCATACTCCGCGTGTGGTCTCCGTGGTGCGTTCCCCCAGACGTACGTACGTGTCTCGTGGGGTCCGATTCTGTCCATTGATCATTGAATTAAATACTACAAAAACTGAACAAGCCCGGACTTGCTGGATACCAGAGGCTTTACATTCCTCCTCGAAGTCGGGGAACAACTTGGACAAAATCAGGTACCCCATCGTGGGTATCACTATCGCGGTGTTTTGTCACCCAGTCAGTGATGATGATGTCGGCGAACAACTAAACGAACCTTGAAATGTGTCATACTGCAGGACGCGGGAGCGTTTGTTTTCTTGATTCCATATATCTGTACGGCATGCATCTTCGGAGTTCAACCACGACTCTGGCTCTACTATGACGACCTCGTCAAAATGATCATGGCACACGCGCGCCGCGAGGAGACCCCCCACACTACAGCAAGGTAATAACCATGAGATGAGGGGCGCGTCGCCATCAAATTTAGTGAAAGTACTTACCTCCCGCCGCAAATGACAGCCGTTCCCTTTATTTTCTGACTGGGAAGTCTGAGACCGAGTCCTTCGAGATCGAGCACGCAGGTGTGTGTTCGCAGATACTTGCGTCGGAGGGCGCGTCCTAGAAAGCGAGCGACGTAGTATACACACAGCGTTATAGCAAGAGCCCAAATGACGTCCATGTAAAAAGATAGAGAGTGTGTGGAAATCGTAATTCGAGCGAGCGTACGCCTGGCAGAGGGATAACCTGGGCCAATGATGCACCAACATTTGTACGGTCCCCAGGATCTCGCCCAGAACGCCGGTCTCCCCCTTTACTCTGAGTTCTTTGGCAGACTTGGGTAGACTTTGTTGGACACCGAGTTAAATAGGATGAACAGGGTGGGACGCTAGAAAGGACCGGGTTCCAAGGGTGAATGTGCCAGGCGTGAAGCTTCAAAGTTGCAAAGAAAATTGGATCTCCATAGCAAAAAGCCATATTCATTTGGAGTCAATGTATGAATTTCGGCATCTTCCAATGAATTAAGCCCAGACGACAAAAGGAAACGACGAGTCTAAAAGATGGATTTAAAAATTACTCGGGGTAGTGGACTACTTCCTCTCCGGCTTACGCCTCCACATCCACAAACCTCCGGACACTAGTCTCAGTTCATTTTCACGTTTCAAGTTATCCCAAGAGGACAAGGCTACATACGGGCATAGAAAATACATGCTATCTATAAGACAATGGTTAATGACAGTGGTATCTCATTAGCAAACGGGTATGTAATGAGGAACTCCTATGACCAAGTCGACGGTCCAAAAGTCTCTCCTGGATTTAGAGACTTCAACGGCGTACCCAAAACGTCCGCTGTATGCTGCCAAACTGTATTACCCCACCATTTCAATTCAATCCCACCCCTCGGCAGTTGCAGGCAGAGGAACAATAGAACGATGGCAACGGCAGTGCCAGCGTCAAGCGCCGCTGAAAGAACGTAGTTGTATCGCATCCACCAACGGAAGTATCGGCGGCGAATATAGAAGTTGAATATAAACCCAACCAGGGCCCATGATGCGTAGTTCATCCCTGATGCCGGAGGAATGGATAAAGCTCCCGCAAAGAAAACAGGGATATTGACATATCGCCAACTTGAGCGCGGGAAACGACGTGCGAGGTAGTAGCAGGGGATGGGGAGAAGGGCGCCGAGTAGGAAGAACCATAATAACGAATTATATCTATGCCGGTACGACTTAGCATGTTAATAAGATGGGACTGATTAATGAACGTACGATGCGCCAGGCGAAAATACCCGAGTAGGTCCGATACCTCCCCAGATGAACGATGCCGTAGCAAAGGTATTCGAAGATGGACATACGAAGCCATCTTTCTGCGTGGACGAACATAGATCTTCGACGTTCGCAAACATCCAATTCTGGGTGCCCACCGACGCAAAAGCCGCTATGATGACTGAAACGACCTGAATAGAAAACATCGTCCGCGGAGGGATCTTCATATAATGGCCCAACTTCAGGTCTCCAGAAAAGGTAGCAGCCTGGGTCGAGCCCATTACCCCCACCGACTTGAAGATGACATTGGCGACGGCCTTTCCGGGGAGCATGTATCCTGCAATGAGCTCGCACATAACATTGAATGTGATGGACATATTTGAGACGGCATGTATCATGGCCAACGGAAGTGCAGTCACCGCTGAGAACAGGATCGCAAGGAGAGCAGCCCATATGGGGAGCTGGGTAGGGAATATCTCTATGGCCACAAATAGGAACATGACGCCGCAAACCCCGACGACCGCATACCACCAACGAGGGACTTCCGGGTATGCCTGCATCAGTCGTGAATGAACATCACGCTCATCCTTCAGAGATGATCGGAATCGACGAACAATGTCTTGGCGGAACCACACTGAAAGAAGGATGTCAAGACGGTAACCATAAGATGGGGACTAAACTGACAAAACGTGTGGACGACGACAGCAGGGAACATGGCGAAGCTCAGCCCGTAGGCAAGACACAGGGTTGCCGGAAGGAAAATGGGAGAGTAGGCCTGATATTTCTCGGTATCGAGGACGCCATCGGTGATAACGAGGCTAGCATTATAAGTCGATCCCTTATTGTCATACGAGTAGTACGACGAAATCGGCATGTAAGCTGTATTGAGGGCATTGCTGACTGGTAGATACTTTAGTTAGCATGATAATGGACTAGATCATCTATACGCACAATACATGATGGGGGCTACGAGCCAGAAAAACAGTGCAAATGAAACCATAACATTTGCCTCAGACCACCACTGTCAACGGTATCAGTAAATAACAACATTGCATAGGAAACCGAATGATGATGCGTACGGGGGTTACCAACGGGCTGCCTAGATATGATATCATCGACCAATCAAACGTCAAAACGCTCATGCCCAGCCCATATGCACCGAACAACGAATTCACTTTGACGTTATTCGGTACAATCCAACATATCCAGTTGAAAACGCTGAGTGCGGTGAAGAGGTAGCCGGGGATGAAATAGTAAACGAGACTGCCGATGAAGAAGAGCAAGAAGAATCTCTCGCGGGTCATCCCTCCTCGCTCGTGATGTCCATACGTCTTGTGCAGAGTGTTGAAAAGAGCGCAATTAACGATCGCCCCCGGCCAGATCATGCTCGGTGGCCAGACGACATATTGGCGAAGAATCCCGGCCAATGAGAATCCGTAAGCCTGAACGCCGAGAACGAGAAGCAGTTGGTATCCAAATGATAATGTTTGGTGATAGAAGATCCGCTGGGCTAGTATGACGTCGGTCGCATACCCTGGAGATGCGACGCTGGTCATCACCGTGATACAAACATGTTCCTTGATGTTGAACGGCCCCGGATTCAACGACCAGACGAACCCGAACGTGTTGAATCTCGTCTGAGGGAGGATTCTTTCTAGTGCCTTACCAAAAGGTAAAGTAATCAGCTGGATGATTAGACTTGATATGTAAAGCGAGGGATCTGATATAGTACATTAATGGGAATGGGCAACGCTCGTGACAGAAGGAAACATACATCGCAATTCCATCGCTGAATTTATGCATGGAAGAATCAAAGTACAAAGAAGACCGATGAACCACCTAAAAATAGGATTTTCTGGTGAGATCATTTCAACGCACAAGACACATCACAACGCACATCCTGAAAGTATTTACAGGCATATTGGGATCATCGACGCACGAAACGGCAGCACGGACTTCGGGATATAGGGACTGGCTAAGTAGAACCAAAACAGAATGTTAGGGGAAAAGAGACCCAGACCGAGATACGACGTGCGCAAGACTCACTCATTGAAGTTCTCTTCGCTCGAATGCGGGGATACATCCAAATCTGAATATCTCTGAGGAGTGTTCAAATTTGATTCGGTATCGACCTCTGAGGCGGTGTAGGTGGGAGAATGCTTGTATCCAAGCTTATCTAGCGCGACTCCAGGCCTCAAAGGCTCTAGCTTGATATCCTCGAGGTCCAAGTTCGGATCGTTCAGATGTTTGATGAAGTAGCCAGGCTCATCAGAATAGGGTGCATCGACAGCCGTAGCCTGGCTAGCGTTCGACATTGCCATGAACGACGAACGTTTATGCATGATTGTGGCGTCCTCAGTGCGTGGAAAAAGGCGAAAAAAAAAAGATGGATTTGCTGCGGGCCCCCAAGAAGCGATAACGGAGTAAGTCCTCGGTGAAACAGTCGGGTGCGGGCTTTACTTGTTCCCGTAGATGGTGGCAGGCAGCATTGGTGCGGGGACAGTGGTGGCGACAAAGCGTTTTCTTCCAGAGATTTTCCCAAGAGATTTTGTTGTTCCGCCTTATTTGTTCGTGGCTACGGCGCACGCCCTAGCGCGTGATGGGAGAACGTTCTACGAACAAGATCGTTATGAAATCGTCGAAGGGAGCACTACTGCCATTGTACGAAACCGACACCGAAGGTCGGAAGCCACTTGATTGGGGATGTCGATTGGACGACGGAAAAGACGGTCCGAGTTCGTTGGAAGCCTCTGATTCATGTTAAAAAGTATGAGTTCAAAAAACGAGCGAGTGTGCCGTCCGCAAGAACCTAAAGCCAACGAATTAACGTTAATCAGGTGTCTGCATCTCGAAAAAAAAACCGCTTGCAGATGAGAACGAGAAGAACCCCAGAAATGTCCGGCCCTTTTTTTTTTTTGGTAGATCTCTTTGCTAGTGTTCAAGTGCTCGCTGAAATACTCGTCGCACATCGCACAGCTGGCCTGCTTGTATTATATGTCACGCAAGTACGAGAGCAGAGTTGTCATTTCCGGCGGCTACGGAGCTCGAGGATCGCCATTTGTAAACGGTAAGATGACATCACCCGGTGGGCCGTAACACTTGCACCAATTACTAGAAAGGCCGGCAAAGATGAACTACGGAGCCGCCTGAGATAAAGACTCTCAAGCACAAAAGCTCAACACACCTTTCCCATCTTAGCCGCAACCTTGGATGCCGTCAGCTTGATGCATCATTCCCCGGCATCTCATTAGGTCCAATGCAGTTGGATACGGGATTCTGTAGCATGTTGAACCGAAGTCAGCTGCAAAAGGGCCCGTTCATGAAGACAAAGGCAGAATGCAATCTGTTGCGCTACCAGAACGATGGAAGAATAGCGTAATGGAAGGCGCATAAGATTCAAGAACGCGTTGTGGCGTGCTATTTGCAGGTTACAGTTCGAGTTGGCTGTCCAGGTGTGGATTCGCGCGAACACGTGATCCTCGGACGATATGGCCGATGCAGCGATTCTCAGTTCCGATTCGTTCGACGTTGACAATTGACAATTGGATTGAAGGGCTTAACGCCTGTCAAAACTCTAAGTACTGCGCTTCGAGGGAAAAATGTCAGAGGCAGAGGTAAGTAGTGAGAATCAGGAGCACAGATGATGATTCACGTGTATGGCCTAGGTCGCACTTTTTATCTTCACTCTCATCCGCGGATGGACTCGAGTGTACCGCTCGTCGCAGGTGCGTGGCGCGGAACATTAGGTTGATTGATCCTGCCTGACATATTTCAGTGATGATCTCGTTGCCAGACATCGACCAGATGCACCACCGGCCCAGCATCCGGTTATCAAACTGACTCAAAAGTTCGCCATAAGGTGCAGCGATCTAAAAGCGGGTGCATGGCGGTACTTGTCAAGTCAAACGTTCAAACGTAGTACTCTGACTGACATCCATTAATGTTGATGGTTGGCAGGGACGGCCGTGGCGTGTTGGCTTCCGGCTTGCAGGATGCTATATGTATTCCGAAGGTACACGAATTACTGTATATGCTACATTGAAGAGATGGGATGGTAGGAGTAATCTGTTAAGGGGAAGGGTGGCAATGAAGGCACCGAGAAGAGAACGCACACCATTATTTGATTACGGCGTGGAGAAAGGCGTGGCTATGAGGGCTATGATAAGATTTAGTCAGATGCCAAGAAAGGGAGACGAATGCTGCGTACGTCTTCATGGCGAGCTGGTGGAGGCACTGAATGCGAATTCCCAAGGCTATGGCCATTCATTGCCGGAGGGGGTGTCACTGGCACTGGCATCTGTATCTGAATCTCTTCCTGAGCTGCAGCATCCATGAGAGCCTCCAGAAGCATACTGCTCGCCACGCGTCAACAAGAGAAGACACGAAGGGAGAGAAGGGAAGAACTGACTCGATCTCATCCTGCAGCCTTTTCATGATCACACCTGCGGTCTGCAAATTTTTCTCGTGGTTTGCGCGGGTCTAGAAATGTGGAGTACGAAATTGTAATGCAGCTGAGCAGTGGGAGCGAGAAGGCAGTACTTACGGCGGTCGCGCGCGTGTAGGTTTCTCGGAGGGTATTGAACCTCGGGTCAATGAAATATCAGGCCGGCAGGGATAAGCGTAATAGACATGTGCATACTTTTCCTTATACCGAGTACTTGTCTGGGGTTTAGGTTGAGCCTGGATACAGTGAAATGGCAGCAAATACGAAACAGGAGGATAGCTACCTTGCGTGGTGGTTCCATGAGTTGATAAAAGATGGAATCAGTATAGGTTCACACGGTGATAAATGGAGGAGCTGTCGACGTCGGTTAAAAGAGTTAATTGTAATCGTAATCGTAATCTATTGATCACTTTTTTTGACAAGCCTGATGTCAATTGATATCTGGCAACATGCCGGACACAATAAATGTGCTCACCAAGCCTTTCTATGCGGGGGAGGGGGGATTCAATATAGTTAATGGTGGTGTGATTGAAGGGCAGGTGTACAAAGAACAGGCTTTGACAGAAGGGGGGACGGAGGCAAGAGGGAGAAGAACTAAAATGGCATTGGCCGCCGGAAGCCCAATGCGCGACATGTCACACATCACGTAATTGACAGGTCTTGCCCAGTTTCAGTCATGGTCTTATACCCGGCCATGCACAGTCGTTCCCCCCACTTCCCGTCACCTCCTTCATCATGTTCAAGTCTACCTTTCCGTACGAGATATGGTTGAATATCGCCCATTTCATACCCCCGCTCGTCCTTGAGGACCTCTTCAGCGTCAACAGCGCGTTATTTCACCTTGCGATGGAGCAGAGATACAGGCAGATCAGTTTTGCGTATTTGAGCAGGAAGATGCTGAGGCTACTGGTACGACTCAAGTGAGTCTTCTGCTGGATATTGTTTTTCTTCTTCTCTCTCCATGTTCTACCCACTTTTCCACCTTTTCCTCGTTGTCTCTTGGCGCGCAGTTTGGTGTGTCAGGCGCGTTACCAGTTATGGACAGATCCTCCTGCATCGGGGATGGAGCTGGTTACGTGACGCTGGTGATTATCTGTGCCCGTGGCTATACCTTTAGTTTCCCCTTTTCTGGCGTATATATCCAGATTGTTTCATAGCCATTACATATATCCGCTATCTCGTCATTTTTGTATCGAATCTGACGATATGACAGAGATCCCGCCGTTGCCAAACGCGTCCGAATACTCCATATGCATCCACACTTCGTCAACGAAGACTTTGACACGCCGGCTTCGTCGCTTTTCTCGTTTAGAAAGTTTTTCGGACGGAAATCACGGCCACCACGCATCAAGAATCTCGATGATTTGATATCAATCATGGATGACGTTCTGAACAGTCTGCCCAACTTGACAGAGTATCACATTGCATGGGTCGGGCTACAGAGCGCGCCTGCCCCATTTCTATGCACCCCATTTCGTTCTTCACCACTGACGAAGCTTACCCTTGAAATCACCCTGGAGAACCTGCAGACTTTGCTCAAGTCACAACCCTCATTTTTCGGTACCCTACGCGAGCTGGATCTCTTCTTGCGTACAGACCACGCACTCGATGTGGCAGGCTATGACATGATCTTGTCACGTACCCTAGCACCAATGATCAACAGCCTCTCTCTACAGACGCTCTCCCTCCGCCTGTGGGAACCCATTGATATGTCGCCTTTCTTCGCCGCCCTATACCCTCAATCCAACCTCCACACCCTCTCCCTAAGTATACCCCTCACGTTTCCTCATCTAGGCAATCCAGATGGCGTTGCCGCTTTCCTCAACATGCACAGCCGTACCCTCCGCAACCTCTCCCTACGCGCGACCGACTTGAGCTCCCCCATCCCCATTGTCGATGACTCCCTCTCTCAATGGATGCAGCGTGCCTTTTATGCTGTGAATCTCTCCTCGCTTTTCTCTCTCGAGCTGGGGATGGGTAGTATACCCTATGAGAGCGCGCAACTCTGCATTAGCAGGGCCCCTCGGACTCTTGCAAACCTTGTTATGACCGGACGGCATCTCTCCTTGGACGAGATGCGTGGATTGCGAATACCCCGGCTATGCCGCCTTCGTATGGGTCCTGTTACGCTCAGCCCGCAGTTGATGGACTACCTAGCTGCGCGCGTGGTGGTGCAGAGATTGGAGTTGGTGGTTAGTGATGTGGTTCCGCGGGATGGGGAGGAGCCGATATATGAGGATAGGGAGCAGGAAGAGAGTCAGGTATGCAAGTTTTTCGAGGAGATGGATGGGAGGAGGTATGAGGGCTGGGGCGTGAGGCATTTGGAGGTTGCGAGGAATGCGGTGCCGTGGAGGAGGCGTTATGAGGACGGTTTTAGTGACCTTTGGAGCAGATGCGTCCCTTCTTTGAGGGAGGTGGCAGTCTAGTTAATCTCCTCTGCTAGTATGTTAATGACCACTATACCTCTGCAATAACTGCAGAGGTATCATGTATTTTGCCGTGTAAGACGGTATCTCGGCATTGAATGCGTTTTTGTGTCTGCCGGTGTACCGAGGCAGCTGCCGCATGCTGTGTCATTGACTGTAGTTTCATTCCCACGTCTTTTTATATCTAGATAGATACATATCTCAGTATTATATGTACAACTTTTCTATGAGATTCAATAGAGGGAACAAACTATTCAATCACTGGGATATCATAAAAAGATTCACAGTATTGCAAGTACTGTAAATGTAAGTGAGTAGGGTGTACAATATAGGTAAGAGTCACCAACAAGGAATTTCAATATTTAGGCCATTTTAGGCCCAATAATGCCATATTTGGCCATTATGAGCCTGATCTGCTAATTTGGCCTTATATGATGAAGGCTCTTTCAGATAAGATCAATAAATTTGTTTCTAATAATAGATCTAGTCAGACCAATTAATATTGCTCTCAACCATAATAAGACCTCTTGTTACATCACTCATAAGTGGGTCTAAAAAGGACTTATAATTGTCCTGAATGCCTGATAAAGTTCTGGTCAAACTCAATAGCAATCTTATTTAATCTATTATATATACCTAATTTGCCACCTAAAAATAGTGAAAAAAAAATGGGAAGTCAAAAAGTCAGACTGAATTCCCATCTTCATTTTCTTTGCTTACTAATTATACAACAGGAATTCCACAACTCCACCAGAGATTGAACTTGAAGCTTGACAGATTATAAAAAACTATTACAAAATACAAGATTAATAACACAATTAACTACTACACTATAAAGTATACATACTATAATACATAGTCAAGTCATTTTGATATATAAGTGCTACCTATAGACAAATTCACTCAACAGTGTCAAGAGATGTCTTGTTCATCACTAGTGCTGATTGCATAGAAGGTTCAGCTTCACTAGAAATGACCACAGGCATATCTGATACAATAGGTGCTGAATGGGTTGAGCTGGCTTTCTCAGAATCCAAGTTAGGCTCTTTGTTAATCACTTTGAGCTGCTGCTAAAAATTCTTCTCCTTCTCATTGAGAGTTATAAGAACAGTGAGTGATAGAGACTCTCTGTCAGCAATTGCATGTTGTGGAAAAGATGTAGTCATTGCAAAATTTAAGAGTCTTGTGCATCAATCTCATGCCTTTCTTCAGTTGGTTCTTAATTCAGTCAATGTAGTACTTAAAATCAACCAATGGTAGATCTCTTTTCTATGAGTCATGAAGTTTAATAAGTATGTTTGAAAACTCTCAAATGCTGGGTCATTCACTTTCAAAGCTCTGATTTCCTTGAATTTCAAGATCTTATCACCTTTACTATGGTGATCATATAAAGTCACTTTTCTGAAATATTCAGAGGCTGATGTATCTTGATCTTCTAGGTCATTATCATTGTTATTTCACAGTTGCCCACCATATAAGTTGATTTGCTATTGTATAAATGATGCAGCATAATACTCACTGCATGGAAAATTCAATATTTATAACTTAAAATATTGAATTCTTCATGCAGTGACTATGAGAATCTTAATTAAGATGGATTTTGATATAATACCAATGAATAACAAAACAATAATCACCTGTTCTGCTGCATCTTCAAAGTTGGTTCACAACTGATATACATCCTTAAGAAGGCCATGCATTTTCTCATTGGACTTTATATTGTAATTGAGCATAACACAGTATTGCTAGATCACAAGAACTTACTTGAGTGATCAAATTGGCTGTGTAGCCCCACTGACCCTTGAAATCATTTGAGCTTTGAATGTTTGACTCAATTCTCTGACTGCTCTCTCTCTCTAATATGTTCAACAGTTAAAAAAAAAGTTTTCATCTACTTTTCTGTAATAGCTGTGTTGAGAGCCAATTCAGCAACTTCAAAGTCATAATGTGATGTGAATAGTTGCCACAGATGAGAGTTAATAGATGGTTCAGCATGTTGAAATGCAGAATGCAGATGATAGTCCTCAAAACACTCTATCTGGATGGGTTGTCCACTGGATGGATGGTAGACTATTTGTATATCATCAAGTTTATATTTTAGTGTGTTATAAACACTGTCTTTGTGAGTCCCAGATGAGAAAGACACTATGTTGCCTGAATCATTTGGAACAGAATGTATTACAGCTATATTAGTGTCATCTGAAATATCACTTCATGCAAGTATTAGTAAAGTGTAATATAATGAAGGAACAACTGACATTCCTGATTTTAGTCATTTTTCAGGGATTCATATTTGGATGACACAAGTGGATTATTTTATCAGATATGATTACCACGCCTAATATTCAACATGTTATCAAATCGGGCCGGATAATTTTCCAATTTGGCTAATTAGGTCCTTACACAATGTCCGACAAAATGAACAGCATTGTGTGGAGTATAGGATACTCAAACTCAGTTGAAACTCCGGTCACTGGCCACAAATGAGTAGCGGAACTTTAGGTACCGTTCAAATACACCTCGTGCTCTCTCCCAGTCACTGGTCGACCAAGGCCCACAAAAGTCAAACGCTATACTGTCAAGGCATGATGACACGTAACGTATCACTATCGACAGTCAACTACAAGCAAGATCCGAACCCCACGTTTCTCTCCCGCGAAGAAGTGCACTTGTATCCGAATTGTTACAGGGATCATCTAGTGGGGCTGGCTCATTAACAGTTAGCTCGTAGGCTGACCCTACTTTGCCTGTTCCTGGTAAATCGTCCGTCCGTCCATCCAGAACTTTGGCTATTACGCCGCAGGGTCCACTCTAGGCGATCTTAACTTAGAACTTGTTCGTATGCAATGTCTTCAGCAAGATGGATGTGAATCACATCTGGTAAGCGACCGTTTCTGGTCTCTGGGAAACATGGGTGGATAATAATAATGTTCAAGGCTTTCAACGGCAAAATGAGTCAGGACGGGCCCTTTAATGGTAGAGACAACGCGTTTTCCTCGGGTTCAAAGCCTGGTCAAATTCCATTTATTTCCCTTGTATCTTGACCGGCACGATGAATTGCCTGTCAGTAATCGCACGCACACATGTACCCGTGACTTTGGCACCGTAGTACGGTACCGCAGGACATTCGGATCCGGATGTTTATTGTGGCATTACACGTTGGACTTGCCTTACGGCGACTGTGAAAAATGGGTCTTTTCTTACAGCATCGTCGCAGTAACAATCAGATTCATATCTGTGGCGAAGGGGGAGGCTGTGGGCATGCAAGTCGGTGCCGCAACTTTCTTTATGTAAACTGTCACTCGCTCATTTGGTTTTTCCCTAGCTTGTACCATCTGGCGTCTCCAGTGCTGGGCACGTAACACTTTGCTCTGTCTGTCCCATCTATCCCCCCGATGACAAAAGCTTCTGCTCCTCTGACCGCGTCTTTGAACCTCGATGGCGTTCTCGGTGAGAAAGTCAAGGGCTCCGAGCCTGTGGTCTGCAGCGGCTTCCTTAGCTCCGATATATCCGAAGCAATGTTCTTTCTCAAGCGTCGGAGATCTTCTGTGTGCTATGGCCAGGTGGTCAGGAGACTCGGAGGCATGGTTGAAAATTATTGGACCCTCGACGTGGAACCACTCATTCGCGATCAATATCTTTTATCTGCTCCATGTGCATCCTGGTTCCACCAAATGATAAATTTTGACTAGGCGTACAGCCATACTGGCAATAGGCATATTGCGTTCCAACGTTCCAAGTTCAGTTCGGTCTTCGGTCATATTCCGATTTTAACCATACATGCAGGGAGTCCACGGTATTAATACAATGAATATAGGCTGCTCTTCTCGAAATGATGCTCGTGGGACATATGGGACTCAAGACGCACCATGTTACTCGATGGGACAAGTTATTGACGCATCTCTGGAGATCTACGTGTCTAACCCTAACACTGTCAATCTGGTGTGGGACCAAACTACGCAAACCGCATTCGTTTCGTGTGGTCCTCTCCTTGCTATCATTATCATGTGAATCGCTGCTAAAGATCTCGAGATTGTACTGCGCCTGCTGCTGCGGGCCCAAAATGGAGAATGATAGTTTCACTGAAGGCCTGACGATCCCAAGCTTCATCAATCGACGCTCCAATTCTGTGTTCTGCCCTGTCGGTACCGTGGAATGAGTGTGGGATGATTTACAGTTCAGCTACAGATCCCGAGAAGGATTACCGGAGAGTGTATTCTTAGCGGATTGAAGCCGACATGTGTAAGATTGTCGTGAATTCTCGTATGTTTTTTCGGCAAAGTGCTAAAGAATACGCTGTCTAGTGCAATTCTTTTTCAGAATCGTTCGGTGAGAATGAAAAGGAAGAACGCAGCGACCTATATCCTGAAATAGTGCGTCCTGGGTAGGCTAAAAAAAATCCGGCCGCTGCACCGAAATTCACAGGAACCTTAATGACTAGGATTGGGGATTTTAACTGAGGCGTCGCTATCGATGATTCTCACTGCGAGGATGCAGTCTCGTATCTCGTTCGAATTTTGCTGTCGGAGCAGTCGGCCGTTCATGTTTCTCTGTCGGCAATTTGCGTAAACGGATTTCCGATTCCGAATTGTCATTATAACCCCGGATTGTAGAATCGCTGATTAATACAACCATGTTGACTGCACCTCAAGGTCTTGTCCTCGTTCTTGCTGAGAACGGGCCTGTCATCGCTGATGATCGCTTCAACGGTGAGCCTAGTCAGTCATCACAGTATGCAACTAATCAACATTCCATACGAAGATTGGTACAACAACGAGCATGCACCTGCTCGTTTGACCGTACCTGGGTACATGACTGCAATTCGCTATCAAGCGACAGATTCCAAAAAGCCCACCCATCTCACCCTATATGAGCTCTCAAGCCCTGACGTCGCGGACGGTCCCGAGTTTCAGGCCCTCAAGCACAAGGCTTCAGACAATGAGAAGGACATTTTGCTGAGGGTTCCGTTTCTCAGCCGTAGGATCTACCAAACGATTGGTGTTTTCACGCATCCAGCCTCTACTTCGCCGTTCCCTGGGAGGTATGTCTTGATAGCTGAGCTAGAAGTGAAGCCAGAACTCGAAGAGGAATTCAACAAATGGTTCAACGAGGAGCACGTGGGATTGTTGGAGAAGGTTCCGGGTCGGCTGAGAAGTAGAAGTTACTCCTTGGTGAGGTCGATGGGCCGTGGAGAAGCTGTCGGAAAGCCCGTCTTCAAGTATCTTGCCATCCATGAGTTCGACAATGGTGATTACTTGAAGACCCCAGAATGGGCAGCAGCCCTTGACACGCCCTGGCGAACGAAGGTCATGGAGGGTGTTCTTGGCATGGAGGTCCGTCAATTCGAACTGAACAAGATCATGGAAAAGCCTTTGTAGCAAGTCCCATCTTCCTTTTCTCCCTTACGATGGAGATGGAATAAGCTAACGTCTTTGATTAACAGAATGTATATTGGGTTAATTGTAAATTGTAGCTAAATATTATACTTCTATGGAGTATTGTTGACTTGGCCCCTTCATCTTGGAGTTTCTTGTCATTAATTGCTTCTATCGTATCGAATACAATGCCTACTTCAAGAGGCGTCTGCTGACATCTCTGCCGCCAATCACTGTTATCTGATAGCGGCTAATGGGGTTGTTGTATGGTACTGTTCCCTCCGGTTTACTATTATTTCTTGATGCCTTCATCTTTTCTCCTGTATAATTTGTCTGACCGGACTCAGGCCCGCCCCGATTAGAGCGATACCTCAGGGTCATCCGGGAAGCGAGCTGCGGAGACTCTTGATGAAGTGAAGGCATGCTCTCGGGCTTGGACCACTGAGGTGTTGATTCTCGAGACCTTTACCAATACTTGATATGCTTGAAGCTGAGGCCTGAGGTTCGGAGTACTATGACTTGCAACAAAGGTCTTTCTTGGTGAACCATATTTCATTTCAATGACGCTCAAATAGTCTACTTCTCTTAGCAGCGTCCCCTTATATCCCACATGACAGGGTCGTCAACTTGCCGTCGAACTGGGACATCTATCGGCAACGGCATCGTGAGAGTGAATCCGATCTACGGGCTTGGAATCCCCTCCAAAACTAACTTTCCAAGTCGACGTTGTATGTCTATCTCAATAAGATGTTACAAAACCATTCCCGTGATAATACGCTCTATCTCATATACTTCAGGCGCAATTACACACAAACCACTCAATAGCTAGCTGCTCTCCGGGCCGCGGATAAGTATTGAAGAACCTCTAAAGAAGTTTAAATGTACAAAACCGTCCATTAGTCAACGGGGCCGTAGTGGGCCGCGGGCCACACCTTGTATGTATATATATTTCTCTCTTTCGCATCTCTTGAATCATAATAATGAATCTCCTCTGGGCTTCAGGTGCAACTCTCCTCGCGTACTACGTCGCTTTATATTTCGGACGTGCGCTCCGACGCAAGCATCTGTCGAAATACACATGCGCCTTGGAGCTCGACATGCTGGGACAAAGGCTTCCTCGTGAGAAAATCAAGGGAACGGCTGTCGTGTGCGGTGGAAGGTATCCATACATCTTTGTATTGGATACGTCGCTGTCTGACTGGCTTCTAGTGTCGGCGGTCTTTTAGCAGCTCGAGTGTGCCATGACCACTTTGACGAAGTCATCATCGTTGAATCGGAAGCGTGGATGAATTCTCCGGACGCAATACGCGCTGATGTATGGAATCAAGAAGGCAAACGCTCGCGAGTGATGCAGTACGAATCCCTGCACGGTATGCCATCTTTCGTTTCTCTTTTCCTTTTACCCTGGCATGTTAAAAAAGATGCGTACGATCGGTGTAGTCGTCTTAGCGATGGGGTACAAAATCATGACCAAGCTCTTCCTCGGCATTGAAGAAAAGGCTCATGCATCTGGCGTCAAGTAAGTTCCGTTATCCGCCCAGTGATCCGTTCTATTATCATGTTCAGGATCCTTCCTACCGATATCCATATTCACATGTGGGGAAATGTACCTCGGACTCCATATGCTGAATACGGCGGCGTCCTTCCAAAGACCATGCGTGCAGGTCGTGCTGGTATTGAGACATTCTTGCGCCGTTTAGTTCTCGGTGGGGACTATAAGAACATTCGTCAGATCATCGGTACAGTGACTGGTGTCTCTCGAAGCCCTCAGGATGTTGGGTATCTTGACGAAGTCGCGGTCCGTACTTCCGAAGGCACACAACAGATCCGCGCAACTCTTGTCATTGGTATGATCCCCCCGAAATCTGTATACGCGCACTAATTTGATGTACATCGCATGAGCAGATTGTACAGGTCCCGCAGCTAGCGGTCTGAAATGGCTTCGACGGGAAGGATATGGATTTGCGGACGAATACGCAAGGAACCAGCTTTCTCTCGACCAACTGAAGGTTACTTACGACCAGAAACTTCATTATTCCACGCTCCAATTCCGCGTACCACCTGAACTAGGTAGGAAGCTTCCTGGCCTCCCGGTTTCGTGGGACGAGTGTGGGTGGATTTACTGCCTCTCGACGGACCCAGACCAGGATTCCCGAAACATATACTCTCAGCGTATAGATGGAGATATTGGTGAGTGTCTCTCTTTTGGATAAACTCCTGATCAACGTCCTCCAGTACAACTTTGTTTCAGCTCTCTGGGTGACAGCGACCTTCCGGTGACTCTTGAGGAAGGCAAAGCTTTTACTCGAAGTCTCGTCACTGAGAAGCCTATTCCTGAGACTTTTTTTGCGATGTTGGACATGCTGGACGAAGTGAAGGACACCATGACTTGCAGTCGAGTTCGTTTTCGTACGTGCTTTTTAATGGTTTCTATTTTTAAAAAAAGCTGAGGAGTCTACTAGCTGGTTCCAGCCACATCAGGTATGAAAGGGCCGTCAACTTGCCATCCAATTGGGTCGCATTGGGTGACAGCGTCATGAGAGTAAACCCCGTCTATGGGTATATTTTTAAAGCTTCTTGAACCCTCCTGGCCTTCAGACGCTAACAACGAACCTAGACAGGGATGCTCGAAGGCCTTCTATGGTGCCCTTTGTCTCAATGCGTTGCTATTGAACTTGACGTCGATACCGAAAGACTTCTCAAAGAAGTACTTCAGTAGCCACGCAGAGAAGATCAAACCGCTTTGGTGAGCCTCTTTTAGAATCCTCCTCCGATTATTTTTCAAACGGGCGGATCGTCAGGACGTCACTCAAATCGGGGGGTACGTACGGCATCATATGGTGCTCTCTAGGACTGAGTGGACCCCATTTAGATTACGCGTATAAAACCACAGTACCGGTTCAGGGAGAGTCTTTATCTCAAGGATCATTGGCCCGGTGGTACACCAAGAAGCTGACCATTCTATCTTTCACCGTAAGTGTCCCTGGTTGGGTATGTCTGCCCGCCCTGCGCTCACATCTCCCGCCAGGATGATCAAGCCGGCTCGGCGATGTGGCATATCAGGATGCTCCTCGCTCCACCTATTGATGTGTTTCAATTTGGGCTTATACTCAAAGTGTTTTTGAGCCTCGTCAAAGGCTGAAGGGTGTGAATCCGGGTACAAATAAATGGAGGTCATGTCACTTATGCTGATGAAACATCGTCTTTAAGGAGTATAGTAACTACGAGTCGTGGGTGTCCCTGGGGTAAAAACATTAGTGTGTGGTTAAACATGGTCCTGAACTAGAACCGCTAGTAGTGATATGTGTCTAGCCAATGGGGATATTCTATTGGTTTCGACGGTTCTGACTAGTCTGTTGTCCCTACGAAAGTTCGATGACCGAGAGGATACCAATCTCAGGCTTCCCCCAGTCCCCGTATGAGGAGTCACTGCCAAGAAGGAAGATTGGCGGGTTTGTGGATACACATGGATAAGATTGAACCACTTTGAAATGCTGAGAAGTGGCACTAAATGAATCAACAATGTGCAGGATGCACACCACCAAATCACTAACACCAAATTACAATGCAGTTCAAGGGGGGAATAGTAATACTGGGATTCCGAGTATGTAGAGAAATGTAACATGGAGGGGGTGCAATAGAATGTATTTCAAAGTTGTATATTGCAGTTTGCTCTGACAAAGCTGTCTGTGTCTCTGAACACAACAAAAATTATCTCAAACAGTCTGTCTGGTGCAGTTTCTGGACTGATATGATGCACCTGGTTGCAACTTATACACAAATACTGGCTGTTCTGAACTGTCTCAGGTCTGTTCTGACTGTCTGATATAAACTTTCAGTTGCTTTCTGGGGTTCTTGCACAAAACAAAGTGACCTGGTCACCACAATGCCATTCAGGTTGAGTCTATGACTTGAAGCTCTTAACCAAACACAACCCATACTATTCACTTGGTAACATTTTTTTTTTTGGGGGGGGAGGGTCAGAAACCTGCTTCTCTTTCTGTACATGATCTGGTATTTATACTCTCTAGCCACCCATGGCTGACTAACATAATTGACTACTGACTAATATACTTGTTGACCCAACCAGAGAGGCTAAACTCACTTCCTGACAGATATGAGCTCATATATAGCTATCTGGTCAATTGATCAAACTGGGCCCTGATCCTTGCCAATATGCTGATCATGCAGGTCTCCATTTCTGGACCTGGGAACCTTGCATGTTGAACAGAGAGGCCTGCTAGTGCTCCAGTCTCTGCTAGACATAGAGACATCACACTTGAAGAAACTATATCCTCTCCAGATAATTACTTGCTTAGTGCATCTTACTATGGTGGGTACAGAGTAGCTAATTGGGTGAAAGCAATAAATATATCCTCTTTTTTACCTTGTATGGTTGCCTGGTGCATCACTGTTATTCTCTCTTAATGTTCAGTTCAGCAACTCATATATGGCATCACATTCAGAAATACAATGAAATTATTCAGTATGTATTTATATATCCTGTTGATTTAATCCAAATATCCTCTCTTTGATGCTAGATTATGTATTCACAACTATGGTGCCAGTTCCAGAGGAGACTCTCTCTGAAGGTGCCTGGCTTTGCTGGTATATGAAGAAGCTAGCAGACCTCTCTTTCACTGTGAGTTTGAAAATAGATTATAGTGCATTTTCCCATATTTGACATGTTGGATAGAATGCTCAGGCAGGCTCAGCATTGTGACACTTTTGAGTACTCCTTGAACTGCCAATCTATCTCTTTCAATTGAGCCTTATGTTCAAAGTAATATGGAATTTGATTAGAGGCTCATGTAGGTAGTGATTGAGTTGTCCTTGAAAAAGAAATTTGAGGATTTGGACTGCTGCATGAGAAGTCTAGCTGGTGCCTGTTTGTGGTTACTACACTATTATGTGTACTAAGTAGGAATGTCATTCTGAGTCATAGAAAGTCTGAGTCATTGTACATGTATGAGAGAAAAGTGTACAAAAATTATATCTCAGAAGCACTGAAGGAAAAAGGTGTTTGTGCAACACATACTGTTCCTCTCTCTCTTCAGTAGGTATTTATAGTATACATAGATGTCCAAGTTATAGAGTTAGCATTTGAACTTGAGCTTAAAGCTTGAAGACTCTTTCTGATAAAGGTTGATAGTCACTAATATTGGAGGATATCCATGCATATACCCATACTATTACTCTTTTGATTATCACTTACTTACTATATATACATGCCCCCTGTTGTTTCTTGATCATCTATATAGTCTGACCATAGATACCTGTATATCTCAGTCATTTCACCCACACTGTGCCTGACTGAGGTATATATACCATTATCATTCTCTTTACTACAGTTGACTATCTCACAAGGCATATTGTCAGGAGACACCAAAACCATATGCATTTATAGATTTATGCAGAATCAAAATAGCATATGTTGTGACATGTGACATATGTGACAATATCATTGTTGTTGCCCCAAAATGCTGTCAGTGGCTTTCAGGTCAGCTTTCTATGCATCTCTTGAATAATGCCCCTCTCAACTTCCTCAGCTGTGATACTAATCCATCCTGATCATCTTGTGAAACACAAAATACCTCCAGCTTTCAAATAAGCTCAAACCCTTCTCTTATAGTTATCAAGGTTTGTTCTTTCTCACTCTCCTCTTCCTCCTTTTTCTTCTCATCATCATCAATGACAGTTACTTTCCTATTTTATACTGCAATATCATACTTGACAGCAGCAACAATCTCCTCATCTGTTGGCATTGTCTCAAGATTTTCAATATACTCTTCTACAATAGAGTTAACCATCTTTTCAATGGTTGGAATGAGACCAAACATGCAATTTTGTGGTTTAAATTTGACAAGGTGGTCCTTCAACATTATCTCTGCTGTCTGGAACTGTTGAATGGAAGCAATTTGAGTGGAAGGTGTGTTTGTTTTTGACTGTGATAAAGGAGCCAACTGATTGACTGTCTCCAGTGCTTTACCAATATTGTTCTCTGCATTCATAACAGTCATAAGAGCAGAACACCAGTCAGCACCAGCATATTGGTTTCAAAGCAAATCCTGCAATGTCTGTTTGATCCCTGGAAGCATGTATTTATCTGTTGAGGCAAAGTCACAAACAAGATTTCATGCAGACTTGAGAAGTGAGATGTCTTAGAAATCATTGGATAGTGTGGTAGACTGTGACTCAGGTGCATTATCAGGCATTATACCAGTATGTTTCCAGCAGTTTGCTATCATTTCACTGCTGACATCTGCTCAAGCATCATGAGCAATAGTTATAGCTTCAAGGAGATTAAGCTTAAAGATCTCAGACTCTCTAAGATCATCAAGATCAAGTGCATAGATACACATGGTATTCCAATAATGTGCCTTGAGGCAGCAGATAATACCAGCATCTAGAAGCTGGACATATGAAGTCATGTTGGATTTAAAGAACTCCAACTTTATGTTATGAAGTGTATAAGCAATGGAATGCTCTCAAAAGTTATCCAAGATCAGCAGAATCTGCTGCATCTCTCTCTTTATCTTTAAATCAAACATCTTCACCCACTCTGTAAATAGTTTGCTTATCATATAGACCTTCTTGTTGTTCTGATAATAGAATCCTATTACTATCAGGCTTTTTTTCTTGAAACATCATAGTTGCTTTGACTTTCTGATGAAAACAACTAGCATCCACTCACTCTCATCAGCATTCACAGAAAAACACATGGTGATGCAGAACTTGTCCTGTTTCTATCCACTCATAGGACTAGATGCCAAGGTATAATCTAGGATGGCAAAGATGACAAGACCAGATTCATTAATATTTCACCTGTCTCACATTGCATATTTCACTATAATGCTGTGAAGATACATGTTCTTTTTCTCCTGCCACCATATCCACTGAGTCTGCTTCTTCATGCTGCTGAACCTCCTAAATCTTCTATGCCTTGCAGAATGACCTCAACCATCTCTTTTCTTTCAAACACTGATCCTCTGGAACATCCATTAGATTTTTAATCTGATTTTGCTTCTCTATTAGCATTGCACTAGTCATGGTCTCACCTCAGAGCTGCATGTTCTGATATCAGGATGCAACAGCATGCTCCACATCAGGTCAGGTGACAATGTGAGACTTTTTGAATGACAGTGCATTAGAGTTCTTGTTTGCATACTGTTCAATTTTTGTATGAAATACTAGTTTCCATAAAAGGGTTGGTTGTGTAAAGAGCAGTGCATCTTTCTTTTAGTTTGCAAAATGTGCCACAATGTCAGCATGTTGATGAGAAGACTGGTCATCAAGATTTTTAAATACTATAAGCCAGTCTTCTGTTATGAGATGTGGGCAGAAGATCTGCTTTGGAGGCTGAGCCAATGATGTGTACATTAAGACTTTCTCCTTCTGTTTTGTGTGCTTGTATGGATTGCCAGATTTAGCACATGGTTTTCATGTTAGTTCAAGAGACATATTTATAGAGATATAGGCTGCACTGTTTTATAATAATTTTTTTAGTGTTCATCATAGTCTATACAAATAAATTATATTCTTTATTGTTGTTTTAATATAAGCATAATATCATATTAGCTTACTACAATTTTGGATCTGATAATGTACATTCCTAACTAGAATTATATGCATTTTTAGTCTATTTTTCTGCTCTTCAACTGTGTTTCAGCCTAATCTGTATGCAAAGTTAGATTTATGCATTTTAATATCATCCATTGTGAGATAGTTAACTGTATATCACTTACATTCCTTTATAGATTGTTACTTATATTCTTCTGTCATTAACTAATCATATGCATAGCATCATAGTGCTTGGTCTGTCACTGGTATCAAGGCTCTCTCTCTTAATCATCATGTCTGCTGCATAATGCTATTTGAACTGCTTTCTGAGGTATTTGATCTTGCCTATAATAGAGACAATGACAACATTTTCAATGCAGGCTTTATTGCTGTCTGCAGCTATTAGAGAGCTGTAGCCTTGGCATCTTCTCATCTCTGGAGTCATGTTACCATCTGCAAATCAGAAAAAGGCCTCTCCACTATTCTTGAATGGTTGCATTCTTGCCCACTCACTATTCACACCACTCTCAAAGATGATACCTCCTACATTGTTTCAGTGCCAGACCAGAAAGTCTCAACCACTACATTGACCATAAGATATCAGCTGCAGACAATGGTAATGCACAACATTTCACTATCCTTGCATAGAATCCTTGAGATCCTCTTCTCCTGCTCAGAGCATTGGAGTGACATCTCTCTCTGGCTCTCATCCAATCTTTTCCACATCCTTGATCATCTCAAAGATCTTCTGCTCAATCTCCAAAGAATGCATCTTGAGAT